TGACTTTGGTTGTTACAATGACTTTTTAAATTTGTATTAGCTACTAGCTAGTTATGTTTAGATCATGACTACTGAAGCTCAAGAACATCACTATTTAGTTATTACATCATCACTATTGCTATTACATCACAATAGATTAATTAATTAGAGAAACAAAGGGGTAAAGATATTGATATCAAACTGAAAATAAAATCATAATTTATGTACACTAGCTAGAACCAAAAAAAAAAAATCATACAGTTCTTTGTTAAATGATTATGTAATTGTTTGCATTTTTTATGATCTTTAAATGATAACTACATAAACTTGGTAAAGTAAGACTTCAAACAATGTAAATAAATAAAAACTAACATAAAAGTGGGTTATATCCTGATGATTCATTAATCATATATATACATCAACTGCATCGCCTTTTTCAAATAGAACAAGTCCAATGGTAAAAAAAAAAACTAATAAGTCGAATATCCTAATTATTGAGTCGTCACAAAACCACTCTTTACATATAAAAATACAAAGATTATTTATCATTAAACAATCATATATGCCAATAAATCTTTTATCTAAGGCTGATAGGCATTTCCAAGAGTGAAGAGACAAAAGATTCCAAGAATTTTATAGTTTCTGAATATTTTTAAAGATAACTTTAAATATGATCCAGCAAGTAGCTAGGGTTAAAGCAATTTAAAATGTCGTCGTTAATAGAAATTGAGAAGTCAAAACGCTAACAACTTTAACATTGTAAAGCCAGCCATAACGAATCATAACGATTGGTGCCATAACGAATCATATATATAAATATGGATTGGTTTGCTCTCGTTCTATAGGTGCATTTTAATTTATTCGGAATTTTAATTATAGTATCTATTTTAATATCGTTATTGTAAATGCGCTAAATTATTTTAAATTAAAATAATACTATTTAAATATCATGCAATGACACGACTTTTTAGTCTATAAATAAACTTACAATTTATTCAAATATTCTAATGATTTATATCATAGAAATAAAACTGTATTTTCGTCATTTATAAATTTACGGTTTTAGAAGGAATTTATTAGTGTTAAAATGCATATAATATATGTTTATATTGTTTATTTTTTTCAATTGAATACATTTAATAAAAAAAAGTTATATATAAGTTTTTTATTCAAAAATTCAAGATATTCAATTTTGATAAATTTAGTTAATAAAAAATAAATAGTATATAGAATTAAAAATGTTTTGCAAAATGGATAGTATAAATAAAAAAAAAAAAAAATGAGAACACTAGTAGACTTGATAAATAAGCACCAAAACTTTGACACGTAAAAAATAATAATGTTAAACTAAAAAAGATGGATTTCCGCGTAAAATTAAAAATGAAGAGAAACTTCTTTAACCCGTCTTGTGGATTTTTTTGATAATTAAATTCAAATGAGTTTAAAACTAGAAACACTGAGAAAGAGCGAAACAGCAGCAACACACGCACACTTGAGAGAATGAAACAATGACAAATCGATTTATAACAAATCTGAATCCGTAAAGAAATGAAAAATCAGAAGATTGAACAAGCAAATGTTTTTGAGATCACTGGCTGCGCGGTGTACGGCTGCTTTCTGCATTTCTAATCGGGTAGAAATATGGATGCGCCTGAAAAAAATCATCATATTCTCTAAATTCACATATCTGTAATTTTAAGAGTCTATAAAGAGATCTTAAAGAAAATTGTTTCGTACCATTGCTTCTTTAGCCGTCGGCCTTTCTTGGTGATCATATCTCAGCAACTTGTCCACAAAATCAACAGCCTTCATAAAACAAAAAGTAGATGAAAACAAATGAGTCATGTTCGTCCAAAAATCCGGTTTTTCGTTTTAACATGAAGGCTTCATAATTGTATAGAGAAAAAAGCAAGTGTTGTACCTCAGGCACTGCTAAGTGCTGGTTTTCAGAATTGATGAACTTTGTCCATGGCTTCCGGCTATGTCTATATAAAATCAAGAGTGCATAACTTAAAGTTTTGAAATGATAAGACGAAAAGTGGAGTTTTGAGAGTTTACCATAACTTCTAAAACCAGATTACCTGCCCACGAGGGATGTAAGATTAGGGTCCAACTCTATACGGTATTTGTTTAGGTAGGCATTGAGTTCATCTGTGCCAAGCACCTGCCATAGTTATAAACACAGAGAATCGTATCCATAAGGAATCGTACGTCTTTTTAGCTATAACTTGGAGGAATGTAAAATCTGTTCAGTGGAGAAGATATGATAATTCAATGATGAAAGCTTTTGTAATCTAACCTTTGCAATTTTGACTAATTGATCATAGTTGTCATGGCCATAAAAGAACGGCTCCTTGCGGAATATCTGCAACAGTAGAGTATACAATATTAATCACTTATCTAACTTAAGGAATGGTAAAATAACCAAAATGTACTGTCGAATTCTTGTCATTCCATTACAGCTTCTTAAACCAAGTTAACTAATTATAGCTTAAAACGCTTACCATTCCAGCAAACATACACCCAAGACTCCACAAGTCTAAGGAATAGTCATAGTCCTGTAAATCCACCAGTAGCTCTGGACCCTTAAAGTACCTGCCATCAAATATGACGTGAGAAATGATAAACCTATACACCAGCCAGATGAAGTTAGATAATATGTTTCCACTTCTAGAATCTAAAGAGCTCAATGCATGCAATCTTCTACATTTCTCATCTGGAATCTCTATGAACAGAACTTTAGCAGTTGCAACAAATAGAATCCTGCAGAGGAGAGATTAGCAAAAAACCAAAAGGAACTAACCTTGAAGCAACACGAACATTGTATTCTTTCCCAGGATGATAGAATTCTGCCAAACCCCAGTCAATTAAACGAAGTTTCCGCTGCTCGTGATCAATCATGACATTATGTGGTTTCACATCTCTGTGCATGATTCCACGCGAATGGCAGAAATCCAACGCCTGCATAAATGTTATAGAAAACAACAAATACCATTAGAGACGAATTCGTAGCTATAAATAATGAATTTAAAAGACAACAATATCTGTAGCTATACAAGTATACATCAATCTACCGGTTACTTTTGTCACAATCAGAGCATCAAAGACTAAAAATAGCAACAAGAAATCCAGGTCTATTATTCTTGAAATTACATTACTTACCTTTAGAAGTTCAAAGATATAATATCGAACATCATAGTCTGATAGAGTTGGATAGAGGACTTTAAAATCCTTATTGTTCACATGTTCAAATATCAAGCTGGGTGTCTTAGACTGCTGATCTCTAACAATGTCGAGCAATTTTACTATATTTGGCCCACCGCAGAGGTTCTGCAGAATCTTAATCTCTCTCTTAATCTGTGTCAAGGAGAAGCAAAATATGTTAGAGAATAAGTCAAACCAAGTAAAGGGTAAGGAACACACTTCATCCTGAGTATATTTCAGCCAAAACAAACAAGAAACTGGATATACTAACCTTCTTCTTCTTCACAGGCTTCAAAATCTTGATAACGCATTTCTCGTTATCAGTAGCATGAATGCCTTCAAAGACCTCACTGTATTTTCCCCTTCCTACCTTCCTCACCACCTCATAATCATCCTGTACACTGCGGCATCAATGGAGCTACCTCAAACACTAATATACCATACAGTAACAACATCATACAAACTCAAGACTCAAAATCATATTTCCCCAAAAAATGGAAGAAATTCAACTGTCTAGGTAACATAAACCAGCATTTTTCATAACTATATACAAAACAATACTATTCTGAATTCATTACGAGACTACCTAACAAGAATCCGATTCTCGCTACCTCAAACACTGATATACCGAATAGTAACCACACCATACAAACTCAAGATAAACACAGATCCTTCTGAATAGTAACAACACCATACAAAGTCAACAATCTAGTTCACATAGACCAGCAATTTTCAAGAGATTATATACAAAAAAAAAAAAAAACAGATACCAATTCTGCATTTCCCAATAGACTATGTAAAAAAGAGTATCAATACTGCATTATTTATGAGATTATATCAATCAAGAATATGAAACGAAACCCTAAATCTACATTCCACATTGATTCCACAACAACCAATCCCAAACTAATCTAATTCCAAAGGCAGACATCTAGAAATCGACGTAATTAGGTTTAAATTAGAGAAGAATCCAAAAGACAAAGGAAGAAGATTATATACCCCCATTGAACAGCAAGAGACTCATAATCCCAATAATCCTTAGGTCTAACAACGTTGACATCAGCGTAAACCCTAGCTTTCGAAGGCGCACCGGCACGCCGGATAGATTTTCCGATCTTCTGAGCCAGCGTTTCTGATTTCTCTTTCACGCGCGATTGCTGTTGTTGCTGCTGTTGTTGTTGATTCCGTAGATGTTGACGGTAAAGAGATGCGCTGGATGCGAAACGACGGAGGTGGTCTCGTAACGAAGAGAAAAGAAGATTCCTCTTCGCCGGAGACGACGAAGAAGAGAAGGAGAGGAGAGAGAAGAGATTGTCGTTGGCGGCGGAAGCGTTACGAAGAGAGGAGATTGTGAATCCAGTACAAGGCCTTAAGGCCATTAATGTCTTTTTTTAAACCTCTTATTGAGAAAATGAAAAGAGATGGTAACGAATTTGCTTTTTAATTCTCTCCTTTTTTTTTTTGGCTTCTATTCAAAAACGATGTCGTTTCAACGGTTCGTTCCGGTTAACATGTGATTGAATCGGTCCGATTTGGGTTCGGTCCGGTTAAAGTGTGATTGAATCGGTTAGATATAGTTGGTTTTTGGTTATCAGAGATTTTTCTAGTCCTGCGCAACGCACTTGTTCTGTCATCATCGTCCACTTAAACAAAAAGAAACGCTCTCGTTTAAACGGTTATTTCCGGTTAAGTTGTGGTTTAATCGTTTAACCAGATTGAGTAAACGGTTCGGTTCGGTTCGGTCCGGTTAAAGTGTGATTAATCGGTTAGATTTGGTTATTATAGATTCTTTCTTCTTCAACCTTTTTTTGTTTTTAATCCTGGGCAACGCACTTGTTCTGTCATCATCGTCCACTTGAAACCAAAAGAGAGAAGATTTGTGATCGCTAAGAAATTTCTCTATTTTCAGATCAAAATTGATGTCGAAATCTAGGGTTTATACAGATGTTAACGTTGTTTGTCCAAAAGAGTATTGGGACTACGAGTCTCTCGTTGTTCAATGGGGGTAAATTTTCTCGCTTTATAATTTTTTCATGGATTTTGAATTCTTTGTGATATTATATCTGTGTCTTTAGAAGGAATTTGATTGATTTGTCGCGAAATCGAATTTGAATCAGAGAAAGTTTATTTTTTAGGGTTTGGACTTAGGTTTCTTGAAGACACTGTGTTTAAGTATCTATTAGCAAATATTGGATTTTGAAATTCATCTGAGTAAGATTATTAAAGACTTTGTGTGAATCTTTTGTGGAAATCTTTCAGTCATCAAGATGATTATGAGGTTGTGAGGAAAGTTGGTAGAGGAAAATACAGTGAAGTTTTCGAAGGCAAAAACGTCAATACGAATGAACGTTGCGTTATCAAGATCCTCAAACCCGTCAAAAAGAAGAAGGTGATTAGTTAGTGGAACTCAATTTCTGATACATTTTGCATACATGAAGATACTTGATTAGTCATTGCTTCCATGTTATGCAGATAAAGAGGGAGATCAAAATACTGCAGAACCTATATGGTGGACCAAATATTGTTAAGCTGTATGATATTGTCAGAGATGAGCACTCCAAAACACCTAGCTTGATATTTGAGTTTGTCAACAGTGTGGACTTTAAAGTATTGTATCCTACATTGACTGATTACGATATCCGGTACTATATTTATGAGCTTCTTAAGGTAATGTATCGCTCTTCTATAATGGGTACTTACTGTAAATGACTTTTCGCGGACTCCATAGCTAATGTTATTGCATTTCAGGCACTTGATTTCTGCCATTCTCAAGGAATAATGCATAGGGATGTCAAGCCTCACAATGTCATGATAGATCATCAGCTGCGTAAACTTCGTCTGATAGATTGGGGTCTTGCTGAGTTCTACCATCCTGGAAAAGAGTATAATGTTCGAGTTGCTTCACGGTAATATCAGATACCACAGCTCTATTTGAAATTGTTTGTCAGATACTTGCCTTGGCAATGCCAATATTTGGAAGTTTTAAAATGCGAAACTAGCTTTGCAATCAAAACCTGTTGTAGTTATTACTTCCGTTAGACTGAAAGTCTGGGAATTGTTTGTCAGATACTTCAAGGGTCCCGAGCTGCTAGTGGATCTACAGGATTATGACTATTCTTTAGACATGTGGAGCCTTGGCTGCATGTTTGCTGGCATGGTGAGAACTGAGAATCCTCTCACTTCTCTCTCTAGTCTCGATGTTGACGTTATTATAAGCAATAAAATTACTGATTTTAATTTGTTTTTGCCGTCTTTGAACAATGGTGATATCTGTTGTTGCGGCTTTATTCACTTATCAAATGCTCTGCAGATATTTCGCAAGGAACCGTTCTTTTATGGTCATGATAATCATGATCAACTTGTCAAAATCGCCAAGGTATATTGCTAGCGCTACGCTGCTGACGTATTTGAATAGATTACATTGTAGATTTCGATCCATTTACTTGATTTCTTGTTGAAAATTTGTGTGCGCGTAGGTGTTGGGAACCGATGAGTTAAACACTTACCTTAATAAATATCAGCTGGATCTTGAGCCTCAACTGGAAGCACTTGTTGGGAGGTTTATTTCAACCTTGATTCTCTTGTGTTTAGAAGTTGAAAACTGTTGCTTCGCACAACTCGAGCTCGGTTAATTTCAGGCCAATTGAGTTAAAATATAAGCCACTCTCATTTGCAGGCATAACAGGAAACCATGGTCCAAGTTTATTAATGCCGACAACCAACACTTGGTCTCGCCAGAGGTTCCACTCTTTCTTGATAAAATATAAACTGCTTCATTCTGTACTGGGTGAATTGACTCTCACTGTATGAACTTCTTCAGGGCATTGATTTTCTCGATAAGCTTCTTCGGTATGATCATCAAGACAGATTGACCGCAAGAGAAGCTATGGTAAAAATCCTCCTAAAGCACACATCTTTTTTTTTTATCCGATGATCTCGTCAAACTTATAATCTCTGGTTTCCCTATTGGTCTATAGGATCATCCATATTTCGCTCAAGTTAAAGCCGCAGAGAGCAGCAGACTACGAACTCAGTAAAACCCAAGCTTGATTGTTGTTACTACTATTTTTGAACCAAAAACATTGTGATGTTGTTGTTGTAACCCCAAAAACACCAGAAGTTGTAACAAAATTGTGGTAGTTGTTTTATACTTTCATAGTTTCATTGAAACATAGTCTTAATAAGAAGCAAAAAAAAAAAAGCCAGTTATATATAAAAAAGTTCCAAACAAAGCTTCATTATATAATCATAGCAAGAGACTTATTGTTGAAAACAAGTCTTTTAAGTAGAGAGAAGCAGAAACCATAAATACTGTCAAGACTTTGATACAAACATAGGAAAGAGGAGGATTCATACGTTTTACATTGGAATCCTTTATAGTTGAGATAATAGATAGTTTTCATCACTTCTTGAGGTGAGGGAAACAAGCATCAACATCGGCTTTCGGATGCTTCGCCTCTGCGTGCTCCCTGCATTTCACTTCCGATGTCGTGCAGATAAATGTTTGCATACAAACCTTGCACTGTATCAACAAATAACAAGTTAGTGAACACAAAATTTATAGGATCATCAAGAGATTGTGCATCAACATGAGATAAAATCTTACAAAAGCGACTAAACGGGTAAATTACAAAGACAATTAAACTAAGGTTTCATGACTCCATAAACAATCCCAAGGACTAATAATTGTAGTTGTTAAGAAAAACCAATTCTACAAATCAAGAATTGTAAAAATACAAAATTTTATCTTTCGATGATTTCGAACTTCGAAGACGATATAAAGCAATAAGTAGTAAAAAATGATTACCTGAATCGACATAGCCTTCTTGTTAGCTTCCAATTGGCTACCTATAAGAGAGATCAAACACAAAAATCATCAAGAAACACGATTTCTACGGCTAAAAATCTCCATTTGACAAAACCCTAAAATTGAATCTGGTTTGTTGTTACCTTTTCCTGCAGCTTTTGCCTTCTCCAAGTTTTTGGCACGAGCCATCGCTGATTTCTGTGCGTTTCCTCCACCCATCTTTCTGATCGATTAGAAGAAGAAGAACACAAACCCTAATTTTGCAGAAGAGGAAGAAGAAAAAAATGCGAAATGGAATTTTTTGCCGACTCAATGAGAAAAAGATTTATAATGCCACTTGCTTCTTTTTTTCTATAATGTCCACTGACATTTAATTCGCCCACTCACCAATCACCTAACGCGTTTTTTTTTTGGATTCTAGATAATTCGATTTCAACTCAATGGGCCTTAGGCCTTCGGCCTTCTTCTTCTTTTGTTTTTTTTTAAGCCTGGACAAATAAACCGAATCGAAACCGAAGTAAAAATAACCGAACCAAAAATTTTAAATAACCGAATGGATATTCAATTTTTATAATGAAAGAACTGTAAATTGGTACCGAACCAAAATATTTTGGGTAACCGAAAATATCCGAAATACAATTATATTTTCAAAAATATTAGTTATTTATAGACCAAATAATCAAAAATACTTGAAAAATATATAAAAATAGTAAAAACACTCAAAAATAACCTTAAAATATCCAAAATTATCCGAAAATACCAAAAAATAACCGAAATATCCAAAAATATCTAAAGCAAAATAACCGAATGGATACTAAATTTTAAAACTGAAAGAACCGGAACCGAACCGAAACCAGACCGCAATTTCAAAATATCCGAATGGATACTAAATTTTAGAACCGAAACTGAATGGAACCGAACCGATAACCGATTAGATAACCGAACGCCCAGGACTAGGTGTTTTGGATTCGGATCTCTTTTAAGTTTGAGTTTTCAAGTTGGCTTTGTTTTGCTTTTGCATTTGCATATTCATTTGCAATTTCTCTCTCTCGGGTTTAAAGGTTTAGATTTGGTGTTTACTGATTAGAGTTTCTGGTTATGTGATAGTTGGTTATATGATTTAGGAACTTTTAAACTTGTACGTCGTGTTTTTTAATCGACCATACAAAGGAACGTTGGCTTGAAAGTCAGAAAAATTCTTCATATTTTTAATACTAAACAAAAGGTACAAGAAGCAGGACAATTTTTTTATCGTATATGAAATTGAATTAGAATAAGGTACTTACAAAACCATAGTCTTTTGATCTTCATGGATAAGTTTTACGGACAACATTAGCATCAATCACCTCTCTGAATCGTTCTAAATGGTAACCGAGAAATTTGGCTGAATGACATGAATTTGCGGAGTCTAAAACCAAATCCGTACGGGCTTAGCCACTTAGTCCAAAGCGAAAAATATCATACTAAATGAGAATTGTCTTGGGTTTGCATAACCCAACAATTGGTATCAGAGCCTAGGTCGAAAAAGTGGACCTAGGAAAATGGGTTTGAGCTACATGCTCGGTGTGCAGTGTCGGCTCAAATAGGGGGCGAGCTGTGCGACGGCCAGGGGTCCAATCTCGTGCTCCAATAATTAAGGGGCCCATTTTAATTTTTTTTTTTTATAAAAGTATTAAAATTTTAAATTACAACATAAAAATAAAATTTAGAAGGGCCCATAAATTTTTTTATTATTGTTTTTAGTTTTAATAATTAACTTTTTAATAAAAATATCATACAATTTTTTTATATAACACAAAGAACAAAAAAAAAAAAAATGTTAAGGGCCTAAAATTTTTTTTGCCCTAGGGCCTATAATACTGTTGAGCCGGCACTGTCGGTGTGGAAGGAGCTCTCAATAATGTAACACGATGATAAGCAGGGGCGGACCCACTTACAAGAAAGGTGGGTCACCTGACCTGAGTAAATTAATCAAATATATTTTAGTGTTTATAAGCAACAAAAGTTCCAACAGCATAGTTGGTATTTTCCAAGTTGTTGACACACCTAAACCTGGGTTCAAGCATCCCAAATGACATATTTAGTCTTTTTTTTTTTCCATTTTAACTTAAATGCATATCTTTTTGTCTTATATACTTTTAAAAATTAAAAAATAACAGCAGTTTATATACTCTTTTTTTATTTGCTTATGAAATAATTTTTTTTTTAAGTATTAACCCGGGTAAAATTTATTTATGGGTCCGCCACTGATGATAAGGGTGCTTCGAGAAGACCTCGCGAATAAATGGTTCCCGGTGCCCAAGTGCCAACGTTTAGCTGAAAGTAAAACCAAAGGTTCTTGGTTCTTGATATGAAGTGAGGATTATTGGGATACATGCAAACCAACATTATACTTTCATTTTTCGCTCAAATGAACTCTTATTTTTTTGTATATGAGTACACTATGTTATAGTGCTCACGCTGAATAATCCATCGTTATTAATTACAATTGTTTGGAACCATTTGTAAATGAACTCTTATTTTTTTTTTTTTTAATATGAGTACACTATGTTATAGTGCTCACGCTGAATAATCCATCGTTATTAATTACAATTGTTTGGAACCATTTGTAAATGAACTCTTATTTTTTTTTTTTAATATGAGTACACTATGTTATAGTGCTCACGCTGAATAATCCATCGTTATTACAATTGTTTGGAACCATTTGTCAAAATTTTGTATATATAAAATTGAAGAAATTTTGTATATATAAAATTGAAGAAATTTTCTGAAATGGACCTTTTTGAAATTTATGGTACCTATAAAATTCCGTTTTGAAAAATTTGTATATTTTACGAATGATATTTCTTGGCGGAACGAAAGGATATAATTTTCTTCCTTTAGGTTTTAGGGCTTTTTGGTTGTTGGCATATGCCTTTAAGTTATTATTGTGAGATATTGATTGACCTGATAGAAGCATAAAATCTCTTAACAAGTTACAGGTTTTTTTTATCTATATATACATTTTCGAAGTACAAATATGAAATAAATCATAAAATTGACACTTATTTACAAGAGAATGTCATTGTCATAAATGTTTATCTATTAATTAATATTACAAGATATTTTCCAAAAAATCTTTTAGATACCGTGGCTTCCAAATATGGTAACAATTTATTTGTTTCTAAATTCGATTGCTAATTTCCTAAAACTTCTCTACCTAATTTTAACATTAATATATGATTCTTCTTTCACTTTTCTGCATATAATGAGATTTAAAATATTAAAACGGACATATATTTTTCAATCGATAAAGAAAAAATATATGTATAATATCCCACATTGCTTAAAAATTGGACAATGGTTCAAAGTCATACTATAAAAAAAATCAAAATGATTCTGAATACAAATGAGTAGAAAGCTTGATTTACCAGGCGTCTAAAATTAAAATTGTTATCCGGGTTACTCCGGTTCTTTATTTTAAAGAATTGAAACTTTTAAAAATTTTTAAATATGTCTTTTACATAAAAATATTATTAAAAAGAAAAATAACAATATGATGTTTAATTTCACGGGACAGTATTATATGGTGGACCGGGTTTGAGTCGATATTAATACGGGACGATATACCACATGTGAAATCCTAAAATTTAAAAAAAAGATTTATAATTATATAATCTTAAACATTGAATAAGCCAAACAATATTAACAAAACAAATATAACTTAAAATTTAAAGCTTTTAATTTAAAAAATTGACCCACAATGTACCGCGGTGTAAAATTTTTAGATACAAAATAATATCAAATTATTATAGTAGTCCATGATTATAAATGTCTGCCAATATTAACACTATATCACTTCTACACCTACAAATCTTCTAAGTACATCAGTACAAATTAACACATCTAAAAAACAAATACAACAACTCAAAAACAATATTTCTGTAGTTCAACCATATTAATTATAATATAAAATACTTAAATGAGAAATAATTTTTTTACCGTATGAATTTAAAAATCCAATAAATTATTATATAAAATACATAACATACAATTTTGCCCCGCGGTGAAATCCTAGGTATTAACAAAACATCATGGAAAACGTTTTTGTATATAATAATAAACAGCAACGAATAATTAGTCAAACCAAGAAGATTTCTTGTCTTTCATTTCATATTTCAAATTTTGAGTTTTGGCGTTATTGATGAATTATATCTAGTTCGGTCTCTACATAATTTTCTTACACGGCAAAGATTGTTCACACTAAAGCGAACTGTATATTTTGTGACTTAACAACGACAAAATAATTATATCTTTCGTGTGTATATAAAGAGGGACGAGAGCCACACAACTATCTCACAATCACTTAAAAAAAGAGAAAAGAATAAAAAATATACATTTCGTGTTTTTGATACTCAAAAATGATCGTAGGCTCCAACTCAATGAGTTTCTCTCTACTTACCATTCTTCTTCTCTTCTCTACTTCAAGTTTCTTAAACACTTCTGCGTCTCTTACACCTGACTTGTGTCGTCCCGACCAACGGGATCTCCTTTTGGAGTTGAAGAACGAGTTTCAGATTCAAAGGCCGTGTGAGTTTCTTGACCTTGATGGTGGTAATCTGATGACGAAATCATGGGGGAATGACAGTGACTGCTGTTCTTGGGACGGAATCAAATGTGATGCCAAGTTTGGCGTTGTGATTATGCTAGACCTGAGCTTTAGCTGCCTCCATGGTCCGCTCAAATCCAACAGTAGTCTCTTTAGACTGCCGTATCTCCGTGCTTTGAGCCTTTCTTACAACAACTTCACTGCCTCTCCCATCCCACCTGAGTTCAGCAAACTCAAGGAGTTAGAAATACTTGAGCTCTCTCGGTCTTCATTTTCAGGTCAAATTCCAATTGAGCTTCTTCAGTTAACCAAGTTGGTGTCTCTTGATCTTTCTCCCGCTTCCTCTTTTCAGAATTTTCCAAGCTCTTTATCCACTGACAAATCATTTCTCCATCTACTTGCACTAAGCTTGAGAAACCTTGAAGAACTAGATATGAGTTCTGTAAACATTTCTTCGGAAATCCCACATGAGTTTTCATACATGTGGTCTTTAAGATCGCTTCGTCTTGGGGGTTGCAACCTCTTTGGAGGATTTCCAAACAAGGTTTTTCTTATACCCAACTTACAGAATATTAGCCTCGATAACAATCCAAAACTTAGAGGTAATCTTCCTGAATTTCATGCAAATAACTCTCTACTAAGGTTTAGCCTTTTCAACACATCTTTTTCAGGTAGCATACCTAACTCCATTAGCAACCTCCAAAACTTGACCTTTTTTAGCCTTTTCTTCTCAAATTTCTCAGGAAGGATTCCTTCTTCACTTGGAAACCTTTCCCATCTCACATATCTTGACCTTTCGGATAACAACTTCATTGGGGAAATTCCAACTTCGCTCGGAAATCTAAACCAATTAACCTTCTTTTGTGTTGAAGATAACCAGCTCACCGGAAACTTTCCCCTTCCATTACTCAATTTGACTCAACTACGATCTTTACATCTTTGTGGCAATAAGTTCTCAGGTTCCCTACCAGCTAACATTAGCCAACTCTCCAAATTGAAGGAGTTTTACGCATGTAAAAATTCTTTTACTGGAGCTATTCCTTTCTCCCTTTTCAATATTCCGTCGTTGACCCACATTATTTTGTATGATAACCAACTCAACGACCTCGTTGGGATTGAGAATATTTCTTCATTACCTTATCTACAATATTTATTCCTTGACAATAACAGGTTCATAGTCAATACTCCAGTGGACATTAATTCTTTTTCTCCCCTCAAGCAGCTTATGGGATTGTCTTTATCAGGCATCCCAGTTTCAATATCAAACATCACTTCTCTTTTGTATTTTCCATCACATTTGGAAACTTTGTATTTGTCAGGGTGCAATATAACGGAGTTTCCCAAGTTCATAAGAAACCAACCAAATATGACTTCTCTAGATCTTTCTAACAACAAAATCAAAGGTCTGGTACCGGACTGGTTATGGAGACTACCAAAGTTGTTGGAAGTGGTACTTTTTAACAACTCTCTCAGCGGTTTCAAGGGATCCGTAGAAGATTCCTCTGGAAGTAGTCTTGATATCTTAGATCTCAGTTCAAATGCTTTCCAAGGACCACTCTTCATTCCATCCAGATTTGTTCAATGTTATTTGGTCTTCAAGAACAACTTCACTGGACAAATATCTCCATCAATATGCCGACTAAGCTCAACCACTCTAGATTTATCTAGCAATAACTTCTATGGCTCAATTCCTCCGTGTTTAGCAACTCTGAAGAGTCCTCTTTCAGATCTGAATCTTCGTAACAACAGCCTCAACGGAAGTCTTCCTGAAATGTTTATGAACGCCAAGAAGTTAAGGTCACTCGACGTCAGTCACAACCGATTGGTGGGAAAACTTCCAACATCGCTAAAGAGTTGCTCTAGCCTCCAAGTTTTGAATGTGGGAAACAACAAAATCAACGACACTTTTCCATTGTGGTTGGATTCTCTACAAAATCTACGAGTTCTTGTACTCAGCTCTAACGAGTTTCATGGTGAGTTGCATCACTCCCAAGCTTCTTTTGGGTTTCAGCAATTGCGAATCATTGACATATCTCATAATCACTTTACGGGTACCTTAAGATCTGATTACTTCATGAATTGGAGGGCAATGTACTCAAATGGAGACAATACGCAATGGAAGTACATGGGAGGCAAAGCATACTACTATGATTCAATTATTTTGATGAGCAAAGGAATAGAGATGAAGATGCAACGTATCCTCACAGTCTACACAGCCATTGATTTTTCTGGAAACAAATTCCATGGAGAAATTCCTGAATCCATCAGTTTGTTAAAGGAACTTCTTATTCTAAATTTGTCAAGAAATGCTTTCACGGGCCACATCCCATCGTCTTTCGCAAACCTTACAGCGCTTGAATCACTGGACATATCCCAAAACAAGATTTCAGGAGAGATCCCTCAAAAGCTAGGGGACCTTTCTTCTCTTGAGTGGATAAACGTTTCACATAATCAGCTTGTAGGTTCAATACCTCAAGGCACACAGTTTCAACGACAGAATTGCTCTTCCTACGAGGGAAATCCCGGACTTTACGGTCCTTCTCTTAAAGATATATGTGGAGATATATATACGTGCCAGTACCAACATCACCACAAACTGAACCACTAGAATCAAGAGAAGAAGACGAAGAAGAGGAATGGTTGAGTTGGGTAGCAGCAGGGTTAGGCTTTGCACCTGGAATTGTATTTGGATTAACGATCGGATACATAGTGGCTTCATACAAGCATGAGTGGTTTATGAAGACTTTTGGGCGAAACAAGCATGGAGGCACCCGCACCCGAACCCGTTAGCTCATCGATCTCTCTCCCCTAATCATTTCTTGTTATATTCAATATCATGATATTTTGTTGTACTGCAAGAAAAAAGAAAGAAAGTTATACTTAAGGGGATGACAAGGTTCTAGTTATAATAATTTCTATAGATTATGTCATACAAAAATTTTGATACGGCTTCTCCTCTACAATTCATTGCATAAAGAATTTAAAAAAGAGAAACAAAAGTGAAGTATGTAAATTTAAAGTGGAACGCAAAGTAAGAAACCATTACAATTGTGTAGAAAGTTTGAAGTAGACTTTGTGATAAGAACGTAGGATAATGAATCAAATCCTGAATTGATAATTTTGGAGTAACTAATCTCCACTCTTATCATCCAAGAACAAAGCACATAAACTCTATTCCTCTTTACACATCACTGATCACACAAAAGATGATCACGCTCTACCATAAGACTATCTATACAAGGACTACTCTCTTTTTTTTCCAGAATTGAATCGCAAATTAACCACGCTCCTCTTCTATTTTCTGCCAAATGAATCACTGACCTTTTACAATTTCCCCAAATACATTCCCAATTGTTAAACGTAGGATAATGAATCAAATCACTGGTTTTAAAATGGATCATTGCTACCACTCTCTTTACATAGTTGTTGTTAAGTAATCCAATCAGTTTTGCTAGTATAGAGAGAACTTGTTGCGTGTTATTCAGGCTCTCACTGCTAGATCGTTAGCCACGAGGTGGTGCCACAACCTAAATAATAAAATAAATAGACACGATATAATAAATAATACATTATGTTTTTTTTTAATTTGTTGCATAAAATTAAATTGCCGAAGCTGAAAGTGTTTTATAAATTACAACCCATACTAGTTAGTATCCTTATAAAAGAAAACTAGGAGAGGTCCCCGCGCCCAGCGCGGGGTTATATGTTGATTAAGAGCAGAATTAATAATTAATATTTAGGGTTATCAAGTTAGGGATATTTATTGAATTAATTTTGTCAAGAGTCTAATTTTTATAACGACATTAATATAGAATTATGGTAAAACGCTATAACTTTTGATATATATTATTAGTAATCAACAATTAATAGTGTTTTTGAATCACAAACAATTATTAGTGTTTATATAAAAAATCTATATATTTAAACCAACAATATATTAGCAACGCCCCGACCGCCACTGTCCATGGGTTCCCACGTCCAGTCTCGGTCTTTAGGCCCATCTTCTTTGTTTTGTCGTACTCTTGATTTTATGACATATTCATGCTTACTCGTTTCTTTCATATTAGCAACGCCTCGACCGCCACTGTCCGTGGGCTCTTCACGTCTAGTTTCGGTCTTTAGGCCCATCTTTTTTGTTTTGTCGTACTCTTGATTTTATGACATATTCATGCTTACTCGTTTCTTTCATATTTGTAATGCCACGACCGCCACTGTCTGTGGGTTCCCACGTCCAGTTTCGTTCTTTGAGCACATCTTCTTGGTTTTGTAGTACTCTTGGTTTTATGACATATTCACGCTTCCTCGTATCTTTCATATTTGTAACGCTCCGACCGCCACTGTCTGTGGGTTCCCCACGTCCAGTTTCGGACTTTAATTTGGGCCCATCTTCCTGGTTTTTGTTGTATTCTTGATTTTATGACATATTCATGCTTTTAGATTGTATGTCACTGGAGTTTTTCGTAGTTGGAAACAAATAATTGAAAAATATAATCTCTTACCATATCTCTTACCTATCAAGTAAGTCATCTTGCTCTTTGAAGTAGTTATGTACGTAAAATTTCAATGGTATAGAAACAGGCATCTCCTTTGTATATATCGTGTCATATTTATCGTCCCTACTGTAGTATCTTTGTCTCTACCTTCGCCATTGGTTGCTGCGTAACCCTTCAGTTGATCTCTTGTTTATAAAACCCATATAAAAAGTTGTAAGAGAAATATCATTTTCTTAACTGTATCGTATATGTATTTGCAGTATATTGATCTGAGATTGCAAAGATGTATGCCTATCAAGAAGCTCTTAGCAAAGTAAACACTGAAGATAGGTACTAAAAATGAGAGGGTTACAGAGAGCAAGTATCTATCCCTTAGAAACCACTATGTGCAACTGAGAATAATTCATATATATACATACATACACATGTATACACGTATTGAAGCTTTTAAATTTAAATATCGAATGCTACAAAACTGGAAAATTGCTTGTGGAGAAAGCAATATGAACATGGCCACATATATAACAAATAACCGATTATGCTTGTCATAGATCATTCTCTTTCAAACCAAAAGTTTTACCTAAACAACATTTCATGTGACTCACAAGAGATACATAAGAGCCATATCCTAAAAATATCCGGCAAAGCAAAAACGCTCCAGGTTCGAGAAGGAAGTCATTGGAAAATTTGAGTATATACCAAACTGGAGAGTAATTCGGCTACAAAGAGAGATGTGTTGGCTTTGAAGAAAAAGCTATGTGATGCTCTACCTTTTATTTATGAATTTTATGCTATGAATATATGTTTTTGTTAGGGTTCAACTTCAGTCTCCGGATTAGAGACTTATATTCATCCGACAAACAATTCGATGTCACAATCAACGCTACAAAATTGGTGGGTTCTCTCTATTAACAAACAAAAAAAAATTCTGGGGTATATATATTTTTTTTGTTTTGTTAGATCCATACGACGAAGAACATGACGAAGAACACCAAAAATTCTCATCAATCCGGTACGTTTGATCTTATTTTTATTAGTTTAACAATTACGGTTATGTCCGAATCTGAAATAACCATGGCTCCAGACTCCTTCACACCATGGCCACATATCACCGGAGTGGAGACGATTTCAAATTCGGAGCTTCTCTTCGCATATAAAATCATACATATGGTCTCTTTGTTTCGGGTTCCCTCTACAATAATTAGTACATATTTCAAAACTGAGCTACAAAAGAGCACATTGGATTTTGGTAAACATCAAGATTGCTTCCTACCTTCCAAGAAACATGATAGACTAATTCACATCCAAGACCAAACATTAGCCACATAAAGCCTGAATCAAATTAAACAATCTTAGGATGCTCTTCATAATCCGTAAGTTAAAGAGACTTGCATTAATATTGCAAATTAGACTCTAGAGGTCCACAATGGTTAATCAGAGTGTATCAAAGACGACGAATAAAGCATGAATTAGAATATCAGCAGAGGAAGCACACAAATATTCAATAAACGTAATCAATCACTGGGAATAGCATGGACCCAACTTTTGAAAGATTCATAAAAAAGGATGATTTTTCCTATGTAACAATATTCAAACAATGAGAAGATCAATGATTGATGACTAACCATACAACCGAAGCAAAGCCATAAACAGAAACGAAAGTACTAAAGAGCCACAACAGCAGTGATACGACATTTGTTTCCTCGCACTGGAAACAATGACGTGCTTCCATAAATCCAATCTAGTTTTTGTGGAAAACAAACCTGCATTCATAATAAACACTACTATTAATTATTATTTTTTATGCAAGAATTAAATGGCAGTATAAAAAATTCAATGGTTAGTGCCGAAAAAAAAAAGCAAGGATTAGTTATGATATCAAATCAAAATTAAATATCAAGCAAGGTATTTACATAAAATTAAGGCAGTGGAGGATCTAAGAATTTTTTATATGACAATATCTACAACTAAACAAAGAAAATTTATATATTTTTAAAGCATAATCATTATTTGTTTTTTGGTAAGATTAAAACCGAATCATTATCATATTAGTAAAATTATCATTTATTTATTATTATCCACGTTAATTTAAAAGTTTAAGAGAATATCTGCTTTTTTCTCATAAAAGGATGGAATAATAACATAACTCTTTTAGATTTATAACTATATTTGACATTATCATATTAAATCTATTAAGATAAATATATTTCTTTTTGAAAAATATAAATAAAATGATAATATAATTATTATAGATTTACAATTATATTATTATCCATGTCAAAATTTTAAAACATTTTACTTTTTTCTCACATAGGAAGATAGAACAATAACGTAACAGTTTAAGATTTACAACATAAAAATAATATCAGAATTGGAACGCCAAATCATAATCAACACAATTAACACAACTCTAATGGGAAATTAGAGTTATCTTGTGATTAAAATACTAAACAAACAAAACTAACCGAAACAAAACAAAAGTCTTCCTTTCAAAATCATTAACGTGACGGATTGCTGACTGATTAAGTTGAAGTTTTAGGCATTTAAAGATATAGAAAGATGATTAAGGTTAAACATTTTTATTTATTTTAAACAACGTTTGAATGTTGACAAAAAAAGAAGAAGAGAGTGTTGGGACCATCGGGAGAGACAACGTTGAGCAGCTGCGAAAGAAGCCAACGTTGTCTATTATGTTCCTCACAGTGTTTGATTTGACTTTTGATGACATTACACTCCTGTCCACTTGTTGTCTCGAAAGTTCATGCAATGGAAAATTATTAAACAAAACAATTTACTTTTATGTATAAATCCTAGGGAAGAACCGATCAAGCTAAGATCAATGGTTGTGGTTTTAGTACCGTATACTTCTCAAATATACCCGTTGAATAACGGAAATCCGCAAGACGGGGAGGAGACGAAGTCAACCTAGCTGGCAAAGGAGCTAACCCAGCTCCTTTGGTCTTATTTATGGTCATATGTATTTAGCAAAATATGGTATACAAACCGAACCAATCAACAATAAAACCTGGTTTTAAATTGTTGTATATTTCTCAAAAGTCAAAACCCATAATAACCAATGGAACAGAAGAAGCTAATGCAGAGCATACTTACGCTTAAAGTAAAGAGTGATGCAAGCTTCCATTGGCACACCCGAAAACGCATCAGAGCATGGAAAGAAACCTAAAAACCAATAAATTAAACAATAATTAAATCTTAGTGCATGGAAAACGAATCCTATACATACCAAAGTCCGAATCTCAGTGCCTTAGAATGACCTCGATACCAAAAACTTTAAGTTACTACTTCCATATATGTAATATTTTAGTTTGGGGAGAGAGATTGGCAACGAAGAGTAATTCCTGAATTTAACAGCCAAGTTTGTTATCCCTAATCTAAAGAGAGGAATACTTAAATTGTATTAACGACAAAAATTAGCCTCCTCTGAAGATTCATCCCTGAAATAAGTCATCTTTCTGACTTTGTGGCAACTGTGTTATCAAAAGTTGAGTGTTTCTTCTGAAAAAGACATATTTGAAAATAATAAGAACATGTACCTCAACAAAATCGGGAGGTACCTCATCTTTTTACAACAAAAAGAAACATACCTAACCATCGATGATTACCTTCTCAAAAGTTGAAACCAAACTTTTTGATTATAAAAATTGATTAGTGGTGAAAATAGTGAAACCATAAATACAAAAAAAAAAAAAAAAATCAAATTTGTACATATAAACTATAAGATCACCTGTTTATTCATTGAATTAGGTCCAAATTTTCCATACACCAGTTCACATCGTCCCCTCCATACATCCACCCTACAATAAAAAGAAAAATTAAAATTAGGTAGAAGCAAAAAAAAGTTTGAAAAAAAAGAACAAAAAAAAGAAGGATTAGTTATGATCTGAAATTGAATACCATGAGCAAGGTATTTATATTGAATAGGAGGCGGTGCATGATTTAGGGTTTCTAAATTTTTCGACGATAAATGCAAAAAAAGAAAAGAAAATTTACATATTTTAATAAGCAAATCACTATCATAATAATAAATATTTGTAAAACTGCCATTTATTCATTGTTATCCATGTTTATTTAAAATAATATTTACTTTTTTCCGTAAAAATATGGAATAATAACAACTATTTTAGATTTACTACTATATCTGATACTATCTTATAAAATATATTAAAATTTAAGGGAAAATTCTTTTCTGTTTCAAAAATAAAGCGGAACAATAATATAATTTTTGATTTACAATAGATAGACATGCATGGTATCCATATGCGTCATGTCACGCTGATCCATATTTTTTTTCCAAAACTCGATCTAATTGCTATTATGTGCAAAAATCACCGCCGTTCACGTTCATGTTCACGTTAGCACTCCATACCTTAGTTCACATGTAAACCTCTCTGCCTATCTCTGACTTCAGCTCTCTCATCTTCGAGTCTCCCCAAGAAAGTTTTGACACCACACCAACATTTCATTCGTCAAAATTAAATCGAGTTTGCACAAGGTTACAACCGATTAATAGGTGGTCTTCTACCTTCTATTTACGATTTTATGCTATGAATATATGTTTTTGTCAGGGTTCAAGTCAATCTCCGGATTAGAGACTTATAATCATCCGACGAACAATACGATGGCGTGATAACCGTTTCTAAATTGGTGGGTTCTCTTTCATTGATCTACATATTATTATTTTTGTTCGTTTTTTTCCAAATATTTAGATTGAAACGACGACGAACACGACGATCATACCAAAAATTTCATCTATTCCGGTACGTTTGATCTTTATTTTAATTAGTTTAACAATTAATAGCCGTTTACGATTAATTTCGGATATCTAAATCTTATTAATTTGAGTAAGGTTAGAATAGTATTCTTTTATGTTTATATTAATGCTCCGATTAATAATTTTCGGATATTTGACATTATCATCTTAAATATATCAATATTATAATAAATATTTTCCTTTTCCGATTTTTTTTTTTTGGTATAATTCCTTTTCCGATAAATTATGAAACAGATCTGTTTACACAAAAGGTAAAAAAAAAAAAAAATAAAAAAAAAATAAAAAAAATAAAAACCATCAACCGTCTCCATTCACACGTTTCTTCATTATGATCACGAATTCACGTTCATGGAAGCTTCATCATACATTAACACTTACAAGTTTCTTCGTCGAGTTTTTATCCAAGGTTTCTTCGTCAACTCTGTATCCAAGGTAATAAATATTTGTTCTTTTCATTGGTTAGAATTATAGGGTGCAGAATAGTATTGACGTCTTAAAGACATAACATGGGCAAGATACTATGAGAAGCTTGACTATTCTGCTTCGACAGATCAATAGGTGAAATTCTATCACTAAATTATTAGATCTCTGTTACTGCTATGAATATATGCTTTATGTTAGGATTTCAAGTTTTGCCTTCGTTTAGAAGAATTATATTCACACGACGAAGAACACGATGAATTCAATTAAAGCTTCCTAACTGGTACTTCGTTGTTCCTTTTTTTTTTTTTTGGTTAATTATCATGTTTATTGTTTCCGAAATTATTTTTTCCTGGTTAATTCCGAAATTCAATTTAATTTTTCCAAAATTAATTAGATTTCATTAAGGGTAATTAAGTAATTACGTAAAATCAAGGACTCAACAAGAGCCGAGAGTCCGACACGTCAGCAAAAACACTTCTCAAATATTGTTATAATATAGATAAATGAACCCATAATTAAAAAGCCCTTGAAGGTAGTAAACCCATTAAGAGAAGAAAAGCCCATTCGGAGTAGTAGAGCCCAAATGAAGAGGTAGATGACACGATGGTCTGCTGTTGTCGTTTATTGCCGAGACATCCATAGTTGCATAAGCTTGCTCGCCAAAGTTGGATTCTGATGTCTAAACGCCGAGATCCTGTTTTTGATAGTTGATCCGATGATACGAGTGATTGATTCCGGTGACCTATGAGTATTGCGATGAAGGCGAGAGTTCCCCTCTCTCCAGATCTCATAGATCGAATTTTGCCACGCAAGGAGAAGAATGTATCGAAGTTGTGAATTCCCAGAGAAGTTGATGAGAGATTGAAGCAGGTCTGTCCAGTCATCGCTCAGGTGAGCCCGCAAAATTGAGTAAGAAAGAGGTCTCCAGATCGCCTGAGAGTAACTACAAGCAAAGAAAAGATGGTGCCTTGATTCTGCCATTTGATTGAAAAGGAGACAACTCGCATCAACAGGGAGACCCCACGAGAGGAGTCGATCACGTGTAGGGCATCGATCGAGGATGAAAAGCCAGGTTAGTGTTCGATGTTTTGGAATTCCTCTTTTGATCCAGACAATTTTATCCCAATCCACCAGAGGTTTTACTTCTCTTAAGCTATTGTAGATCAGTCCCGAGCAAAAGTCCTCTCTAACAGCGTCTTGGATGCACCACTGCTGGATGTCTTCAGAATCATTGAGTCTTATGGTCGAGAGATGTAGAAGAAGCTGTTCAAATCGGTCTGATCGAGCTGGGGGAAGAAACCAAGATCCATTCGACCAGAGTGAAGATACCGTTGCATTCGAGGGAATACCCGTAAGTCGAGGTCCATGAGTTCCGATGAAGTTGATTAGAGGTCCATAGGGAGTCCACGGATCTCTCCAAAATCTGTAATTCCTACCATTTCCCAGACTGATTATGAACCACTTAATAGCGAGCCCTCGAAGTTTAAGTAAGTTTTTGAACGTCCATGTTTGTACCTGACTTGGTTTAATGTCCCAAAAGTTTCTATCTTTGATGACATTTTGGTGAATCCAAGCTGACCAAACTGATTCAGTCTTAAACAACAACATCCACAGGAGCTTAAGAGAACAAGTTCGGTTCCAGAGCAATAAATTTCTCACACCCAAGCCTCCTTCACCTTTGGGGGAGGTAACTACTTCCCACGATACTCTTGCTACATATTTTCCTTCCAAAGTTCCTTTCCACAGAAATGCACTACACATTGAGTTAATTAATTTTATACATCTCATAGGCAAGATAAACGCACCACACCAGAAGTTAGTAATGCCCGCAATAACTGAATTGAGAAGTTGTAATCTTCCTGCAAAAGATAAATATTTTGCTGTCCAGGAAGATATCTTACTTTTGATCCTTTGGAGAAGTGGCTCACAGTTAACAATTGTTAATTTTTTGGTACACAAGGGCAGACCAAGGTATCTTATGGGCAGGTATCCTTGAGGAATCCTAGAAAAACTGCCAATAGTTGTGATTTCTTCTGCAGAAAGCCCACAAGGAAAGAAACAAGACTTCTCAGGACTGATAGCTAATCCTGACAGGGTCTGGAATTCAGCCAAGACATCTATGATTCCTTGGACAGAGGTAGGAGAGCCATCAGAGAAGATCAACAAGTCGTCAGCAAAGCAGAGGTGAGTGAGTTTAGATTCTCTGTATTTTGGGTGATAACCAAACCGACCTTGGTCAGCAGCCTCATTCAATCGTAGAGATAGAAAATTCATAGCTATAGTAAATAGATAAGGGGAAAGAGGGTCTCCTTGTCTTAAACCCCTACTCCCTTTAAAATAGCCATGCATTACACCATTAATTCCTATTGAAAAGGTTGGAGAAGTGATACACTCTTTGACCCAATGGATGTATAATTCTGGCAGGTTGAGAGCGGAAAGACAGAAAAGGATGAAATCCCATCTCACGGTGTCAAACGCTTTTGCGATGTTAACTTGGATGGTGAGTTTCTTTGGCCCCTGGTCTTTGTGGTATCCGTTGACAATTTCTGCAGCCAATAAACAGTTTTCTAACAGAACCCTGCCTTTGATGAAAGCTGTCTGATTAGGCAGAATAATTTTTGGAAGCAACGGTTTGATTTTTCCGACCAGTAGTTTAGCTATTGTCTTGTATAGAGTGTTGCAACATGATATGGGTCTAAAGTCCTTGATAGAAGTAGCTCCTGGAGTCTTTGGAATCAAGGTAAGAATGGTCGAGTTGGTTGATGTGGGCATTTCTGGATTCACGAAAAAAGATTGGATGGAGCCTACAACTTCTTCACCAAGTATAGTCTAGGCAGCCTTGTAGAAACCTGAGGTAAGTCCATCAGGACCAGGACTCTTGTTAGGGTTTAGCTTGAAAATAGTTTTCCTGATCTCTTCTGAGGAAGGAATCCTACTAAGTATTTGAATCTCCTCTATTGTGCAAGAATAGTTGTAAGAGGCAGCAATAGTCTGGCTGTGAGAAGGATTTGAAGGCGAAATAAAAGGGCTGAGGATACTTTTGAAGTGGGAATGAGCAAGTTCTCCAATCTCTTTCGGGGTAGTTGCAATGACGCCATCCAAGCCAAGTAGTGAATGAATAGCATTGTAAGCCGCTCTTGCCTTGGTTACTCTGTGAAAGAAATTAGTGTTCTGATCTCCAACTATTAGCCAATGAATTCTTGATTTTTGTTTGAAGAAGGCTTCCTCAATTCCCCTGAGCATTGCTAACTTTTCTAGGCATTTCTTCTCTTTCTCAAAATTGGAAATTGTTGGCTGGTTCAGAGCAAGCACCTGCACATGTTTTAACAAACAGTTAGCCTCGCAAACCCTCTTTTGAATTTCTGAAAAATTGTTTGTGTTTAAAGCTTTCAAATCCCCTCTCAATCTCTTCTGCTTAAAACTCATTTTTCTTAGGGAGTAATCCTCAGTTTCAGAGCAAATCCAAGCATGGGCTACAGTAGATAAGAAGTCTGGGTGAGAAGTAAGGTAGTTAAAGAATTTGAAAGGTTTAGAGCCAGTTACAGGAAGGGGAGAAGCTAGGCTGATGAGGCAGGGAGAGTGATCAGAGATTTGTTCAGGGGCTAGAAAGGTTGCTAGGCTTTGGGGAAATGTTGAGAGCCATTCTTCATTGATTAGTGCCCTATCAAGTTTCTTGGCAATAGGGTTGGAATCTTGTTTATTAGTCCAGGTGAAAGTTGGCCCATAGTACCGAAGATCTCTGACTTCTAGAGTTTGAATGCAGTCCTTGAACTTTATCATGTTGCTGGTGAACTGATTCCTTGATGCAGAGGAGTGTTCAGAGTGATGAATAATTTCATTAAAATCTCCCCCTAAGAGCCACAGTACTGAATGAAGAGCAAGGGCTGATTGAATAGCTTCCAACTCACTCCATAAGACCTCTCTTTCCTCCACAGTATTTGCTGCATACACCGCAGTAAAAAAGAAAGTTCTCATTCTAGTGCAGCTTATCTGACAAGTAGTCATTTGTTGGATTTATGGATGACATTGACTACTAGAGGACCTTTCCAGATGATTACAATTCTACCATCAGCATCCTCCGAATGGTTTGAGGTAAAAGACCAAGATGGGCATAAATCTGTCATTACACGGTTCAGATTAGATTCTTTTATATGAGTTTCCAAAAGGGCTCCAAAAGATACTTTATTACTATTAAGCCAGATCTTAAAAGCATGATGCTTCTCAGTGTCATTAATTCCTCTGACATTCCAAAAAAAAGTTTGTATAGACATAAGAAAGGTTAGGAATGAGACTCCCCTTTAGAGAGGGAAGAACCCGAAGACTGGGTAAATCTAAAAGCATTTGGGATACTTAGGATTGGCAAAGACAGATCAGGCATATGGGAGGATTTTGAAGTGGTGTTAGAGAAGGAAGTTAAAGGAGCTGGAGGCTCAAAAGAATTTTGGGGTTGGGTAATGGTAATAGAAGGCTGAAAGGGTTTATGGGTTTGGGTTTGGGGGGAAGCTTGGGTATTTGAGATTGTGAAATTAGGAGAGACAACAAGGTTAGATGAGGGGTAGTCCTCCATCAACGATGAAGATGACGCAGGAGCATCCTCAAGGTTTGCTAAACAAGAGAAATAGTTTCTTTTAGTGGTGACTAACTGTTTTTTGACAACATGGTTTTTGGCTGCAGGTTTTGAAGAAACTTGGGTCCAAGAAGAGTCTTCTTTGATAGGAACAGAGACCTGAGAAGTAGGAATGATTCTATTCTGAGCCGGAAGAGCAAGTAAATGTGTAATCTCATCTTTCCTTATTGTGATGACATTTGTGTTATCAGCTTCAAGAGGAACTGAACCTCCAACAACATCCGCAGGAGAGACTGAGGGATCGACACCAGTCTAGCGAAAATGGTGAAATAATGCTAGCGAAAATTTCAGAACAAAATCTCGGAGACGTTGAGTTTTCGTATGGCTCGAGATTATTAAACATTGACATCAAATATAAAAGAATCAATATAGTATTAAAAGAAAAAAAAAATGTAGTATTAAAAGATAGGTTATTATCTCATCTACCCAAGTTCATCTCATGAGCATTATGAGCAAAGCCGACCCAAAGGCCAAGCCCATGAACCATTTGCTTGCCGCTTTACATAATATATATAAATTTCGGCCTTAATTTTGTGTGAGTGATATATCTCCAGTTCGAGTACCCATATTAGTAAAGTAGCCAGAAAGTTAGTCGGAACCATTTGCCAAAATTTGGTTCCAACAAACCCAAGAAAAAATAATCAATAAATGAAACATTAAATACCATTAGAAAAAAATTGTGTGTGAATGTTATTTCTCTTGAACTTAGGCTTTTTTGGTTGCATATTGGGCCTATTGGCCTGATAGACGCAGAGACCCTCTAAACAAGCCAGAGGTGTCCCTTGCTAACTTCTTGAGTTTATCGGTCAAGATCTCAAATTACACTCTCGTCTCCGACGTTTTTTTACTTTCTCCGGCGGATTTACCGGTGACTTTTGGATCGATGGGTGTCGTTATTGAGACCTTTATTTGGGAACCAAGCTCAAGTTTCTTCATCTTCTTCTTCGTTTCCACATTTTTGTCGATATTTCTGTTTCCTTACTTCGCCAAGAACAGAACTTTTGGTAGCTTTGATCATTCTATTTCCTCTTCTTTCGCTCGGTTCCAAAGATGGTTTCTAGCTATCTACACTCTCTCTTCAGGTATATCTTTAGATTTCTGCAAATGGGTCTTCGTGAAATTGATAGTATCTATGGTGCTTTCAATTTCTGGTTACAAAAGCTTTCAACTTTTTTGCCTTTTCTCGTCAATAAAAGTGGATCCTTTGCTACAATTTGATTTCATTTGTTGGAATTTCGCAGTGATGGAAGGTTTATGGTCAGTGTATGGAGAATTGGAGTTAGCATCTTATGGTGTAAGTAAGGAATCAATGGTGTTTTATCTCTGTGTTGGCTATTCGACTGCTCTTGTTCTTGGTCCTTTACTTGGTGTGCTTTCTGATCTTATGTAAGTAGCTTTTAGGACAATGTTGATCAAAATGTTTTATTTTGTTTTGAACTTTGAATCATATGGTGCTAGACTGCTAGTGACAATAAATATCGAAACTTTTGTAGAGGTCAGAAGAGAATTTGCTTACTCTATTGTGTCTTGCACCTTGTTGTTGGTGTGTGGAAGAGGATTACAATGAGTCCTAGTGCTTGGTTTCCAAATATTTGTCTCTCTCTTGCTGGTCTCGTATATTCGTTTGGGTTTGAGACTTGGCTTGTTGTGGAACATGAAAAGGTATCGATTCGTCTCTACATTTGAGTTTATCATTAGAGAACACTAAGTTATGATGTGTAGTAATGTTATTGTTATGTGTCTTGTACCTTTGTAGCAAAGTCAGCGGAATGACTCGTTGAATGAAACATTCTGGTTGATGGCTTTTCTTGAGTCTGCATCTTTAATTGGAGGTCAAGTTCTTGCAAATTGGCTTGTGGATGAAAATGTTCAGCATGGCATTGCATTGTCTGCTACGGCGTCTCTGTTCTTGTCTATTGTGACTATCATTTGTATTGTCCAGACTGCAAAAGAGCCGTTGAAGACCCTCCCATTTAGGGATTATTCCGCAGCTTTCTATGCATATGTTCTTGGTGGTAAGGGTTTTGTCTTCATCTTTTCTTTGGCATTGCAACTTTTAGATTTGAATTAGACTTCTATTCAATTCAAAATTCCTGAAAGAGTATAAGCTAATCTTAGCTTGTAAATTTGATCAGATAAAAGAATATGGTTTCTGGGAACTTCACAAGCCTGCCTCCAGTTTTCCACTGCAGTCTTTTGGATTCTGTGGGCACCAACCATAGTGGTATGATCAAGCTTATTGATCCCAATTTGGATTTTTAGATATGATAATTATTGGTATTTATTTCTCGACATGCAATGAACTTTTTCTTATGATCTGCTTAAATTTAGAAATGAGTTTTGTTGGGTCAGGCTGACGGGAGAGAAGTTAATCTGGGATTAATATATCCATGTTTCTTGGGTTCAAGAATGCTTGGAAGTACTGTATTCCCATGGCTTATGAGCGGACAATCATTACTCCGGCTTGAAGATTGCTTAGTCTACATATATGCAATACTTGGGGTTGTATTTTCTATAGTAGCCTATGATTATCAGGTAACTTATTTTCTAGTTTCACAAAAGCGTACCCGTAAAAACTTGTTTGCTTCATATTGAAGGCCTCACGCATTAAAAACAATATCCTGCAGGAAATCCGAATCTTAGTAGTACTTTTCTGCTTATTTCATGGCTTTGCTGGACTTTCCCTTCCTTTGCTTGCACGATTAAGAACAATGTAATGCTCTTATATTCATTTATCGTTCATTTTTCTCCTTATTATTCAGCAAAAGACATTAGAATCTTTCTTCTCTGTGTTAACGAACTGTTATCTTTATTTATAGGTATGTACCAAATGAATTGCGTGGAGGGATGATAAGCCTCTCTCAATTTCCAGCTAATGCTGCTATTGTGTTTCTCTTAATCCAGGTATATTTGCTATCAAAAACACATGTTAACCTATTTTGCTTCTGTTTCTGTTACCGTATCGATCTCAATATTTTCTAGAGAGGCTACTCCAACAAGATCGAGAACTCAACAGTGATGGCTTTTGGTGCCATTTCTTTATTCACTGCATCTGGTTGTATATATTTATTGAGACGATGGGGAAAGTCACCACACCAAGATTGGCACAAGTTATGATCCTGAGTAAGTGTGTGCTCTCTGGTTATGAGACTTATGTGGAAGAAGGACAAGGCAAATCAAAGACAAAATCTACTTGTTTCCTAACAAAACTCAAGGTTGGTATATGAACTAGTGTCAATGGTCTCGCTTCGATTTTGTAGCAGCATGAAGTGAAGAAACACAAAACCTGGGAAGTTCAAAGATGTAGTGTAAGCAGTATAAGAGGTTTGATTTGTTAGTTTGAGAGGATTCTATTTTTTTTTGCATTATCGTTTTCTTTGTTTAGTTCAACTTCTTTGGACCTTTTAGGTATTATTGTTTTAAAAGTAAATATGAATGAAAATGAAATTTTCACATTTTACAAGTCAATCTGCAAAATCTCAATCATATGTTTGGTCTCTTATCCATTTGGTGGCAACCCATTTCTCACCCTTGATAACAGGACAGCTTCCATGGAGAGATCTCTGCAACAAGAAAACCAAAATTCTGAGAAAGATCAAACATTTGATGTCTTAAATGTGGGTTTTGATTGTCTGAAACACTAACCTGATCGATTGTTCTGTTTGGGAGCAAATTGTAGAAGAAAATGGCGTCTCCTTGTCGCGGTTTTACTCTCAGACCAATACACGTCTCATAATCATATCTTCCATTCATATTTCTCCCATTCTGCTTCCTCAAAACCATTCTGTTTTATTTACAACCCGAGAACCCCAACCATGTTAAACAGAAAGAAAGAAACAATGATTACCTCGAATGGGAACATCGTCTCTCCACCTTCTTCGACACTCGATAAGAACAATATGAAAGTCACAACCTGCACTCATATATCATATGTTGAGTGGAGGATCAACAGATGGTAGTTTTGAATCGATCCGGAGCAAGAAAACTAAATTAGGTTTGCTTACTTACCCTTTGGCTTATCTGGGGACCATACTCTGCTGGGTGGAAAGCATCGTAATGTGAATCATATTTCTGGCCAAGCTGATACCTCAAGATGTTGAATGACTGGAGAATAAACACATGAAGGTCTTATTGATATCATAAGTAGAACCACATGTTCTTAGACGTATTAGATCATATATGCATTGGTTTCGTATTGCTTACTTCGTAATAATCTATAGGGATTCTCGTGGCTAAAGCTATTTTCTCTTCGATGGCAGCTAAAATCCCGGATTCGTCTTCATCAGCACCGATGAACACTCCGGTACTGCATTTGAAAATGTTCAGTTTCTTGTAATGTTCATTGATCTTATGCTATCTAGCCTCTAAATATCCATTATGGAGAATGGAGTCTTTTGTAAGTTTTCTTTAACCTTGTTCTAACGTTTTGAGTGGTTTCTGCAGTTTCGCCTTTCCTTAAAGCAAGCAGAGAAGGCTTAAGCTTAGGCTTTGCCATATCGATAACGGCTTCACATTGTTGTTTCGTTGCGAAATTCGGCAAGTAAAAAACTCGAGGATTCCAGCTTAAAACCTGATCATCCACATCAAAAACATGTACCAAATCATCTATACTTGTGAATCTGAATCTAAAGTTATGATCCATTTTAGATTGTTGGAGATTTGAGAAGTAACTGACCTGAAAAGGAATGTTAGAGACAGAACCATGATCCAAAGATTCAGTTTCTTCGTTTACAGATCTTCGCGTCGAAATCTCACTGAAACTTCCCTGTGCGAAAACAGAGGAAACAGAGTTTTGGAAAGAGCTTCAACGGAACTCGATGATCGAAGATATTATCAGAGAAAGAGAGAAACCTGAGAGAGAAGATTGAAGAAACAGAAACCGAAGATGGCCAAGAAGAAGCAACACGCCAAGAAAACGTAAGGAAACCCTAACTTCTTCTCTTTGCCATATGATCTCATCTTGAAGAAGAACTTTTTCCCTAACGAGTGGAAACTTCGAATCAGCGGGAATTTGAATTCTGAAACAGAGAAAAAGAGAGAGAGAGAGATCAGAGGGTTAAGATTTAAGAAAATAAGTAATGATGAATTCATCTTCTCAATTTCCAATGTAGATTTTCTATGGACATATATCTTTGCCTTTAAGAAGTTAGTCTTAGACAGATTCGTACATGTGTTTGGACAGAATCCAACCAAAACTGTGTTCTTTTACAAAGCAAGTCATATCCAGTCTTATTAGATACGTTTAAATTTTGTGCTAGGGACAAAAGACAAAAAAGAAAACTATAATTAATAAAAGAATTATAAATACCTTTTTTTGTTAAAATGAATTATAAATTAATTAAATACCTTATGGTCAACTCTTGAATTAACCAAAACTGGTAATAAGTAGCGGGACATCTATATATATATATATTTTTTTTTTTGAAGTACAAATATAACATAAATCCTCCATTTGACATTTATTTACAAGAGAATATCATTGTCATAAATATTTATCTATTAATTATATTACTAATTATTTTCTAAACAAAATTTCAAACATTGTGGCTTCCAAATATGGTAACAAATCGATTCTGTTTATAAATTTGATTAATTGCTAATTTTTTAAAACTTCTCTACCTCATTTAAACATTAATATATGATTCTTTATTCACTTTTCTATGATCTTATATTTAATTTATTTTGAATTTATATAAAAAATTTAAGGGAGACTCACAAAAATGCCCCTTTTTCAATACCCCTTTTCAAAAATGTCCCCTCCCTAATAGCTTCCCTGAAATTGACCATTTTACCCTTAATGAGGCTTTGAATCAGGTTATAACCTAATTAAAAAAAAAATCTAGGCACACCGTCACCCATATCCACACCCACAGGTTCTTAATCGAAATTTCAATTGCTGATCAAATCTTCATCATTCATCCGTTGAGAGTCAAATTGAGAGTTAAATCGACCTTCTTCTTCTATCAATATGATGAATCTCTCCGATCTGGATTCTCAACTCTTTGTAATCACACAAAAATCCTCTTTAATCTCTTCTTCTTCGGCGTAATTTTGATTTCACAGTTTCAATTTCGATTTCAAAATCAATTGTTGTTTTTGATTGTGGAGTGATGAATCATGGGACTAGATTGTTGTTTATGTGCAGTTGATTACGTCTTTTGTTTCCTGGAGAAGAAAGGCTCGTCAACTTACTTTTGCTTTACCACTTTTTCTTTCTAGCACACGAGTAAAGTACATTAATAACACTTTCTTTTGTCCATTATTAAACAATCTGATTCTTGCATAATGGCCTAATGAGTACATGTGTTAATTTATAAGACTGGAAAGACCTTAAGATTTGATATTATATTGTTTAGTTTGAGTTTTATGTGGTTTTGGTGTTTCTGATTTGTGTTCATAAGATTTTCAGAGAAATGATTGTGATTTGTGTTGTGGATGTGATCTAAAATATATTGTAAACTCTTTTAAATACACGTTGTAAAACTTTTAAAATATCTTGTAAAACATTTTAAAATTTTTAAAATAACTTTTAAAATACTTTGTAAAACATTTTAAAACCTTTAAAATACCTTGTAAAACCTTTAACCTTGTAAAACCTTTAAAATACCTTGTAAAATCTTTAAATTTTAAAAACCTTATAAAACCCTTTATAAAATATTTTCAGTTTTATAAATCATCTTATACCTTATAAATACTTTGTAAAACCATTAAAAAACCATGTAAAATCTTTAAAATATCTTGTAAACTCTTTAAAACATGTTGTAAAACCTTTAAAATACCTTGTAAAATCTTTAAATTTTTAAAACCTTATAAAACCCTTTATAAAATATTTTCAGTTTTATAAATCATCTTATATCTTATAAATACTTTGTAAAACCATTAAAAACCATGTAAAATCTTTAAAATATCTTGTAAACTCTTTTAAAACATGTTGTAAAACCTTTAAAATACATTGTAAAACCTTTAAAATACCTTGTAAAACCTTTAAAATACCTTATAAAACTAACATCACTATTTCATCAAACACATGTATTGAGTCACTTGTTGTATAATAATAGCAATCACTTTAACAATTAAAGCACCAAATATAACTATCAATAGTGTTACATGGAATTTTCTTATGTTACAAACTTATAAAATATGCATACAAGTTGAGTAAGTACTTTGTGGTACGTACAACATGGAACAAAATCATCATCAAATTTCTACTTTTCCAACGAATGCAATCGTATCAGAAGACGAGTTAGGAGGGTTTGGACATGTTTGATTCATCTTGTCAAGCTTCTTAGCAATGCCCAAAACTGCAGAACCTCTAGGTGAGGTGATTTGGTTCAATCTGTAGGTTATTTGAAAATATATGCACATGATGCTTGTCTTGAGGTGCTTTGCTTCAACCTGCAAGGATCTATACTAGCTGAGAGTGTTTTCGTGTGAACCTTTTATCATGGAACCAAACATTTGAAGTGGAATAAATCAAAGATGATATACACAAAGTTTAAGCACTATATAAAATCATTAACAGTAAAAAAACAAACCTTTAAAAAAGCATGTAAAACCTTTAAAATACGTTGTAAAATCCAGAACTGGAATAAATCAGAGATGATAAACACAAAGTTAAAGCAATAAAATCATTAACAGTAAAAAACAAACCTTTGAAAAGCATGTAAAATACGTTGTAAAATCCAGAAGTGAAAATAATCTGAGATGATATACAGATTTTGCTTGAATAAAGCTTCTAAAAAACAGAGATCTGTTACCTGAAATTGACAGAGCCGGACACAGAGAGAGAGAGATACAGATCTCGCTTAAAAAATCGAATCTAGCAGATTTCGCTTAGAACGATAGAAAATCGTTACAGGTTGAAAATCAAACACATCACAAGGGAGAGAACAGATCTAAGAATAGAGAAACAGATTTAGGAATAGATCGTTGCGCGATTATGTTGATCGATTGGAACTAATCTAGATCTAGGAATAGAGAGAGAGAGAGAGAGAGAGAGAGAGAGAGAGAGAGAGAGAGAGAGAGAGAGAGAGAGAGAGAGAGAGAGATAGCCGCTCGATGGAAGAGAAAGAGAGAGGAAGACAAAAAAAATCTGATTCTAGGGTTGAAAAGGGGAAGGGTATTTTGGTCAGTTTAGACATTTTTGAGGGGCATTTTTAAAAATCACCAGCTGAAAGGGGTATTATTAAAAAGGGCATATGAAAGAGGGCATTATTAATAATTTCCCAAAATTTAAATACAAAACAAAATCCAATAAATTATAAATTATTATATAAAATAATTTTGCCCTGCGGTGTATCTCGGTTAAATCCTAGTATTGCATTAAACTTGTTGTAATAAATATTGGGACACATTGCATTAATAATTTAGTATGTTATATTTTTGAGACTTTTTTTTTTTTTTCATAACAAACGTAGTACATTTTAATTTTAGATTATAATTAAAAATATTAATGCAGTGATTCACATAGGTGCCATAAAATTTGTTACTATATCTCTTTTGCGTTACCAAAGAATGCTTACCTATCATTAGTCTCATGTAATCAATTCTCAAACCAGATATTTTCCGGGTTTTTGAATTTCAGGTTTTAGGTCATCACAAACGGCCATTTTTGATCAAATACTCAACTATAAAACACCAAATATTACACATATAATTAAAAAAAAAAAAAATCATTTCTTTTTCTTTTCTCCCATACAGAGCTGGCTAGCTTGTGCTTGCGGCTATATTTTATTAGAATTTAATTTATTGAAAAGCCTCATTAGTCTAGTGCTAAAGGACTACATACGTTCACTTCACTTGAGGTGTGGTGTTTGACTGTTGAAGTTCACTTGAGAGACTTGCGGCCTTGAGCTGTGGTGTTTGGCTGCGGAAAAGTTTACTTGCTCTGCTCACATATAAAATAAGTCTGATAATACATGCAGTTTTTAATGTTTTATTGATTCTAGATAGTTGCAATATGCTAAATTAATGTTCAAAAAGGTTGTAATTTTTGTTATTCTCATATATCTTAATCTATTTTATTCATGCTACATAATAGGGTAAAACGTTTTTTATAGTTTTGATCAATTACAAAAAAAATAGTTGGAAAGCCTCTTTATTTAAAATTCAAAGGCATGGATAAATTTTTTTGTCTACTTATTACTTTGTTTGCAAAAACATCTAATTATCATGCTAAACGGTATTTGATAAGATTTGGTGTGTATTTAACATACGTGTATAATTTTAATTTATGCAAAAGTTATTAGTAACAAAAATAATTACAAAAAAAAAGAGATCTAGATGCTTCTAGGACCCTAGTTAGGGGTGTCAAGTTGGTTAAACCAAACCAAACCAATCCATATCCATATGAGTTTAGTATCTAATGGATGATGAGTCAATCCAAACCATTTGCTAAATGGTTTGGATGAAACCATAACTCATTTAAATTATTGGATTAATGGATAAACTCATTTAATTCATTTAATAAATTTTCCATGATCTAAATAATTATCATACTACAATCATCATCATCATACTACTATAATCATTCATGATCATAATCATTATCATACTATTATCATCTCATCATCATCATCATCATCATCATCATCACCAGCTTAAAAATAAGAAACAGACATCAAGTTCTTGAATTCAAAACACAACAACTGAAGCTGCATAAACTCAGTGAAACACAAAAGATTTGTCCAAACATGGAAAAGGAAACGTGTGATCGATTCGATCAATGTATAAGAGAGACACTGGAACTTTCACTCGAATCCTAACAAACAAACTCTTAAATTTGTGAAACTCAATGAACAATGACAAACGTATAATGCAAAATATAAACAAACAGAGCACTAATTAATGAAATAGATGTTTTTCCACGATCAGCAAGCTAGAAGGCTCATGTTAAAGTGACCAGTATATATGTACATAATATATATAAAAAAAAACACTTGCACAAGAAGGGTTAGACAATGCAATCAACGATAGTTTAAATCAAACAAAACACTTACTCTATGATTTTGCTTGCACGAATGAAACAATAGAAATTGATCCATCAAGCATATATTCTTATAATAAGACATCATTCTCATCACAAAGTACCTTCCGGAACCTTAAGTTCGACGGTGGTGGTAGTGAAATCGAAATCGGATTCCTTAGGGAAACCACTCACGTAGTCTTTCAATGTTGGTGGTGGTGGCGCTTGCCTTTGAGAGCCTTTCCGATGGTTCACTTCGTCGGCCGGAGACTTGATCGGTAAGAGAGAAGAACGAGACCCTTATCAAAGCTTCGAAAAACCCTTTGGCGAATAGAGATAGCGAGAGATTGATGGTGGTGAGAGATCGATGGTGGTGAGAGATCGATGGTTGTGAGAGTTGTGAGGCTGAGGAAGAGAGATCGATGATGGTGAGAAACCGGTTTAGTAAACCGGTTTAGACATTTTATTCGGTTATATTCGGTTTACATATTTGATTTAGAATGTTTAATTTCTACTGGTTTGGTTATGAGTAATCCACTAATCCACAATAATCCAAACCATTTCAATCCAATTCATTAAACTCATTAATCCATTTAATCCATTAATCCATTAAGATCCAAATTTCTCATTCATTAGATCCACGGATTGGATTGGTTTGGATTAATCCATTAATTTCAATCCATTTTGACACCTCTAACCCTAGTTTAGATAACGTAAATCCTAACAAAAAGACCACGTAGATATCAGGAAGCTTACTAATTGCCACCGTGTCAACACGTGTCGGAAATATACGAGCCATATGTGTTCCATATAAGCACAAAGTGAATCACTAGCAAGCGTATTAGCAAACGGAAAACAAGATGGAGGATAAGAAAAAGCCACCAACGACGGAGCAACAAGAGAAAGAAGTTAAAAACGACGACATTGAGTCTATCAAGAGCCCATATTTGGATTATGATAACTTGGAAGATTACAAGATGAAAGGTTACGGAGCACATGGCCAGGGGCAGAGGGAGAGAAGATTGATAGGGGTCAATTGACCCCGGTGAAATTTTAAAAAATAGTTTAATTTTTATATGAAAAAATTATTGACCCCAATCCAATAAAAATATTGACCCCTATAAAAAAAAATTATGTTACAAACCCAATAATTACACTATACTTATAGATAATATTAGCCTAATAAAATTTATTTTAAGTAAATCTACTACAATTAAACCTATTAATATAAAGTAATATAATATTTTAACATTTATTTTGACCTGATCTAAAAACGTTTTACTTTCTTCTTCTTTCTTCTTTGTGTTTTTAATCAATTTTTGATTGTGTGATGGTGGAAATAAGAAAACATCTTTCACATCTTTTAGTATATCGACTTATGAAGCTATCTTTTATGCATCTTTTAGAAAAAAAAAATATTTTGACCCCGATGAATAGATTTTCTGGCTCCGCCACTGCACATGGCCACCAAGAACCTAAGCTTGGCATGGGAGGTGGAGCCACTGATGCTCCTACTCCTTCAGGTGGTCTTGGCCGCGGTGGAGGCGCTGCATCGACGGATCTTTCTTCTACCGGTGCGATCAACCGTCAGGGAGTTCCGTGAAAAAACTATATTATTATGGGTATGTGGGATCGTCAATAAACACAACAAGTAGCTTAGCCATGTCCAATAACTGATCGAGTTTCGTTTCTTTAACGTGTTTGAAACACAAAAAAAAAACAAAATGCAAGTGTTTTTTTTTGTTGTAGAGTTTAATGCTAAATAATTCTCAAGTTTGAAAATATATCACACCAAATATATTCACCATCTTCAACTCTATTCGTAGTTGTTGATTAAGGAGCTATTCCAAGAGTTTCATTTCTAAAACTTTATTTTTAAATTTTGGAGTTCTATGTAACATCCCCTTTTTCACTTCAAAAGAGTCCACCATTTGTATTTTGAAGGGAAAATGGTATGGAGATCAAAGTATGGCCTAACTAGTGGATATTTTATTAACTAGCTAAGATAAACCGTTCATTTAATTACTGACAAAATGATCATCTCAGAGATAAAATGCTAGCATATATAATCTCTAAGATTTTAATTTTATTGAGGATTTTAATAATGTTTTTTTTTAAGAAATTTTCACACACACATCTTATTTTTGTTGACGAAGATCTTTTGATGGTCCGTTATTTGGTTCTGTTGAGCTTTTACGTTTTAGATTTTAGAATATCTTTTAATCTGGTGCTATTAAAAACAATTCATATTAGGAGTTTGAAAAGAGATTAGAACATGTTGATTCTTGCTTAATTGGTGATGTAAAACGAATAACTGTTTTCATAATTGTTGGTGGGAGATATTGAAGTAGACTATCATCAACCAATTTCACAAATTAAGAGGAGGTTGAAAATAAGACTATAATTTCCTGCTATACCCAAACCTACTATGATTTTGATTATCGTTGGCAACCGAATTTTAACCTTCTTCTAATAGAACCATTGTAACATTTCAACAACACGATAAATCTTAAGAGTTAAGATATTAAGATATTATTGGAGGTATATTGAAAAACGTGGTCAATATGACGAGTAAGACGATAGCATTTTACGAAGACGTTCATATTAAAATCCAGTCATATATAGCAGTTCTTTTTGTTTGAAATTGTACTCGTCTATGATTCCAATTCTTATTTTTATAATTACTCTAATATAAGAAATTTGATTTGTTGTTGTTGAAAGTATAATTAACTTCACAATATTTCAAAAAGTTATTTATTTTTTTATCAAGCAAGTTGTGTCTTCAAATACATAAGAAAATAAATAGTTCGAATTTAAATTAATAAATTAATATATATATATATATATATATATATATATATATAAAAGAAAAAATAAATTTTGGTAACTTATCTAATCGTTGAAAAGCAACGAACCAGTTATTGAAAAGCTAAGAGTCACTTTAAACTAAGACACACAAACTTTCAACAGACTAAAGAAAAACAAATCAAACAAGTACAAAAAATTACATCAGTATACTGACTTTTCAAGTTGAGATAGTCTTATTTGAGATTACAACTTGACCATCAAACGTCTACCGAAAAATATTTAATCCAAGATTTATTATCCAAAACATATCGCAGTCTTCGAGGCGTTTAGGCAAAAACTTCCTTACCAAAAAGTTGAGAACATCAAGTAACAAGATAATATATTTTGAGCATTGAGAAAGTCTTTAAAAGACATATGGAGACTTAGTGACAAGATTAACTAGCTTTAAGAAAATCAACAGCTAATTAGCTAGTAAAATCTTGTGCTTTAACCTGATCGTGATCAACAAAAACTTCTTTTAACCAGGAAGGATAGCATGTAGCTACATACGAGGTCAATCTAAGATCAGCTGTTATAATGCGTGGAATTTGATATGCAGCATTGTTATTCTGTTGTGGTTCAAAAAGCATAAACCAATTTCTCATAACTTCACCGAGAGAGAAGAGAGGAAGTATATGACTTGATCATTCTTTAGGCTTATTAATTGCTTTGATGATCTCCATTGTAGTTGCACCAAATGTCACATTTTGTACTTTTAAACTCTTGATACTACTTACAACCTACTCCCAACTTGGCTTAAATATACATTTGAGCATAAGATCTTCTGCTATGAAGTAAACCATTGCTATAAGAGTCTCTTATCACCCAGGAAACACCGGCTAAGTTGCTGCTAGTTCAATTTAACTATCTTCCACCATTAATTTATTTTACTGGTAGTTTTAGCTTTAAGTATCAATTGATAAAAAATATGAGTGGTCGATTGAAGAAAAAAGAGAGAATCATGAGGAATGGTGAAATAAAGTTTGTGAAGACTGAGATTCGGAAGAAATTAAGAATATGATATAGAAGAGACCTAATAGGCAAATGGGTTGGAGAAAGTTTGCTTACTTAAACTCAAAGTTAGATTAATGATTAATAAGCACTTTACGTTAAATTGATTTTTTAATAGAAATTTAGGCATTGAGTTGTTTATATTTTAATAATTATTAGGTTATTCTTTTAAAAAATTAAATCAATTGATTTTGAACTTGGGTTTGGGCTTGAATTTAATTTAATCATTATTAAGTGATGTGAAATTGAAAAGAGTTATTATTGGTTGAGAAATCTGAGTTGTATTAATCGAAATGTTTTGATTGGTTGACAATTTTAGTGACGTGTCAATCCCAGAATACTCCAAAATGCTGAGATGTCAGCATTAGAGAGACTTTTGTTGTTTTTATTGTATTGATTCAGCTCCTAGATTTCTCTCACCAATTAAACAAGAATCACTAAATCAACATGTTATAATCTCTTTTTACTCTCATCTGAAATTTTCTCTAAGCACCGCCAAAATTGAGATCGTAGAGTATTCTAAATGTAAAGCTGATTTTTATCAACCAAATACAACCATTTCATTCGGAACCCAAAATAACTAACTTTATCTGTTTTTGGTTCAACTCAATTATTCGCTTTAACCCACTTCAAGAAAAGCCCACTAAAAAGCCCATAAGCACAGCCGACATCAGCAGACAGCAAGCCACGTCGATCTCGAGGAACCGCGTATTTGACGTGTCGGAATCACACGAGCCACAGTGTACTAGATAGCTCCATAAAAGCAGACACATCTCATGGAGAACCTAAACAACTTTAATAGACAACAAAAAAAAAGAAGAACCTAACCAAAAAAAAAAAGAATGGAGGCCGAGAAAACACCATCGACGACGGAGAAGAAAACGGAGCAAGTGAAAGACAACGACTTACCAACCAATAGCCCTTACATGGCCACAGGTACTTTGGAAGACTACAAACTGAAAGCTTATGGAGCCGAAGGTCACCAAGAACCTACACCTGGTCTTGGAGGTGGCTCCACCGATGCTCCTACTCCTTCTGGCGACAAACCGGCCGCCACCACCACCGGTGCCAAAGCTCCGTGATAAATAAAAGACTATAATAATGAACGGGTTTTGTGGATCTTCGGAAAAAAAGAAATAAACCCAAAATTGTAGTATTGTTCAATAACTGATCCAGCTTCTTTTTATTTCTTAACGTTTTTATGGTTTGACTAAAAATGTATTTCGAGTTTCATAAGATATTTATTATCATATGTTTCCGATAAAATGAAGTTGTAACGATTTAATAATTAATGTGATCTTATTTCGGTTCGAAAAAAGACCAATGTTATTCAGTTTCATCTCTATCCATCAGATAACTCGAGCTTACTTAATTAGTCATATACAACTAAACTATAGGTATTCAAATTAACAAAAAAAAAAAAATCCAATTTTGGTTTCGTTTTGGAATTTTATGAATAGTACTATCTAAAATAAGAAACCATTATTTGTTGGATAAATTGGTACGGGTTTGGAATTTTAATTCAATATAACGTTATTTTTTAATTAAAAATTTCCTTAGATCAAGTATTTTCTCCGATTCGATTTGGTTTGGATTAGTATTTGAGTTTGAGATATGAAAAAATCAAAAAGTGAATTCAATTTTCTTTACTATTGATCATTTATTTCGACATTGTCATAATATTATTCTATAGAAGCAGTGATCATCATGATGTGCTAAGTGTGTGATGCCAAGCGAAGTCGGTGGCTTTGTGACTTTGTGGTACGAACGAATATTTGGTGTAGGGCATATTTTATTGGCCCACGTACACGTGGTTGGCGGTACTAAATCTTGGACTCGATCTCAATATGATATGTGGCTCACAAATTGATATGTAGTCACCCGAGAAAGCAGATATATAAATTAATGAAAAATAAATTAATATTAATATTTCTATGAATTAAAATTTAATGGGTTCTTAATAAAATTAATCTTTTATTTTTAACCAACGGATTAAGATTTGGTATTGAATAGTTTTATTGTATGATTTCCTTTTGGTTCAGTTTTGGTCTTTTGGTTTCTTTTCTTTAGACATAATTTCCAGAGATATTTTATCATTCGTCAGCTTAGCTTCCGAGATTATCTCGTCTCCAATTTTGTATTTCATCTTAATAATACATAATATATCTTCGATAAGTTGCAAATGAACAGACATTTAAAACTGAAACAAAGCCGACTAGAAGTTCCTGCATATTTATGAACAGACATTGCATAATTATGAAGGGCATCCTAAATATTAATGTATCCTTCATAACACTTATGAAAATAAAATTTTACCTTCTTGTTTTCATGTACCACCGTTGAATATGTATTTCCTATAGGGATCACAGCAGAATCTCGAGCAAGAGGGGAAAAATGAATATTTGCGTCGTCCTTTTTCATCTATTGAACGTATATCACTAGATGGAACAGAAAATAAGATGTCACATCCAATTGATTGATGAAGTTCCTCCAAAACAAACAAATGTAAAGAATTTAGTCTGTAGTGTAAGTCTGTCTACAATTAAAACAAAAAAGAGTCATATACACTTATATTTACCGTTATACACAAACGAACTATTTCAGGATCTCCTTGTGATGAAAGTGCAAATTTGGCGATCATTCTGAATATACATTGGTAGAGAATCTTCTAACATCAGCTTCATCTTTGGGGGAAGTTCATAGCTAAGTTAAATATCTTTGACTAAACCCTCAAGTTCAAAGTCTTCAATAACACTCTCAACTAAACCCTCAAGTTCAAAGTCTTCAATAACACTCTCAACTAAACCCTTGTATGGGATATTCTCATCTAGTTCACAAAGGGATCCAACTTTGTTTGTGTCTACTAGAAAAATCCACTGAAGTTTTTCATTTTGTTTCCACTCCCCACGAACAGAGTATATCTCCACCATGCCTACACCATACCTATAGAAATCAATAACCAATACAATGAGCAAACTAGAAGATCTTTCAGAATTCGTAAATCATCTACTTTTCTCTAAATCGATGAAAAAAAATCTGAAATAGCTACAACGGTAAAGTTTGCTTAATTTGCCTAATTAAGCTCAAAATTTTGTCATTAATCCAAGAAATCAACTGTCATTAATCCCTGAAATCCCATAAATCCTAGAAATCTCAGAAATCAACACGAAGAAGAAGAACCTGATTGAAGCTTCACCGGAATGCGATCAATTTAGCACCTGATTGAAGCTCTGAGATATGAAGCTTCACCGCAATTGAAATTGCAAATCGGAACCTTCACCGGATTCACAAAATCGTAAGCTTCTCCATCCCGATGAATATCTGTTTGTTTTTACTCATTAATATTAATTAATTAATTTTAGAGATTAAAAGTGCTATTTTTGGAAGTTTAGATATTATGTGCTAAATATGTCCATAAAACCAGTGTTCAAGAAAGCGCTAGACGCTAAGCGGGCGGTGACGCAGTGCCTAGCGCCTAGAACGCCTAATCGGGGCCTAGACGATTTTTAGGCGGTTTAGACGTTTATAACATAAAACATTATCAATATGATATTATATATAAAAGTTATATAAAATATCTATATAAAACTAAAAATTATGAAATTATAAATAAAAATTAGATAAAATATTTATTTATATTTATATTAAACAATATATGAATATTTATAACTATATATATAAATAAAACTCTAATTGAAATTGGAAAAATACATTAAACAAGATCTATGTAATTTTAGGCGGTCAAGGCGGTTATCTAGGCGTCGCATGAGAGCCTAGCGCCTAGTCGGGGCCTAGGCGACCGCCTAGACCGCTTTTTAGAACACTGCATAAAACATATTATGGTGCTATTAGACACCATTTCTCATATTTGTTTGAATCTTTTTAAAATCTTCATGAAATGTGCAATAGAAATGTAAGATGAACAATTAAAACATTTTCTCCTAACATTAACACCCAGTTTTGGAGATATTGAATCCTCAAATCTCTCTTTATTTTTTGTTTTCCATTAAATTGTACAAATCTTTCTTTCTTATTTGGTGAGACAACAATATACTGGTGACGAGAGACCGACGACGTAAATCTGGTGAAGGGATGAGAACACGAGACGACAAGACGACGAAAATTCGGCGACAAGATTTCGTTTCAAAGAGAATTTGTGTTTCATGAAAGAAGAAAACGAAACTGTTTTGTTACGTGAAAAAAGAGCTGGGCCATTAATTAATTTAGGTCCATTAATATAAAATCTTATTAAAAATCTTAGATGTTTATGTGTGGAACATTGAAAATCTAGTGCTATTTTTTAAAATAAAATATAAAATCAATTGCTCTATAATCTATCTTGCAAGTGGAAAAAAATATATAACAAACGGATTAAAGAAACTCTATAACAAAGCTATTTTTCAATCAAGCTTATTATTGCCTGTAACTAAATAAAGCTGACGATAATAAAGTTCAAAAAGACATTGTTTGAAAAAGTGATGTACAACGCATGTAATATGATTTGTTTCCTGAGGACCACAGAAATAAAATAATGGCATTATCGACACGCCGCTCTCGATGGTATTTTTCCATTTGTCATTGTCTCTTCAATGGAATAGCCACTCCAATTTTTTTTAGAAAAAGGTTACACAAATGCATATGCAATGTATAGTATGTAGTGTACGTAGTATGATACGGTTCTATATTATGTGCATGAAAAATAAGCAAACTCGTTAGAATAACCGAAAAAGAGATCGGAAACAAAGCTCAAAAATAAGAATATTAATGAAACGAAAATGCTGTTTTCGTATGTGTTTCCATAGCGGTGGTGGTGACGGTGACTGCCACAGGACCATCACCGGAATATGCCAATTCTCCAGCTGTTCATCCTTCTAGCAACTATAAAACAAAAACAAAAAATGTCGTAGAAAACCAAAATTGGGAAACAACAAAAAATATTGGGCCCAATGACAGACTGGGCCTAGCTCAAATATTACAACAACCACACATAATTTGTTACACTCTGCTCCAACGGCTACTAATCACCGTAGGTCCCTTACATTCTTCGATCAACGGTCCAGATTTCTCAAATGTTTTCTATTATATACATGCAAGAAGAATATACACTCTAGTATCTACATTCTTCACTCAACACTCACTTTTTCTCTAATTCCTTATTTCTCTCAACTAATTTCAAATTATGACTCGCAAAATTCTCTTAACAGTTACATTGATCTGCATTTTCTCTCTCGGCGTCGGTGGCCAATCTCCGGCCACCGCGCCGAGCCATTCTCCTTCTATATCTCCTCAAAAGCCTAAATCCACATCTCCCGCCATTTCTCCATCGCCGGAATTAACTCCCACGACGGAGGCTCCGACGCAGACTCCGGTGGAACCACCCGTCCAGGCTCCTCCTTCTCCTACACCTGAGGCTTCTTCTCCGCCAGCTCCTTCACCGGAGGCTGATACACCTTCTGCTCCGGTGGATGCACCAACAGCTGATGTTCCAGCTCCAGCTCCGAGCAAACATAAGAAGAAGCATAAGACCGCCCCGGCTCCTGGACCAGCTTCGGAGATTTTAAGCCCGCCTGCTCCGCCCGGGGAAGCTCCTGGTCCTGGACCAAGCGATGCTTTCTCCCCCGCCGCTGACGATCAGGTACATAATATGATTTAGCCTAAACAACGGTAGATTAATCTAGGTAATATGTAGTAATTAATAACACTTAAAGTAAAAAACACTGAAATTAGTTAGATCTTTTGTAGGAACTAGGAACTAACTATAGTAGTAACAAACTTGCAACATAGAATGTTTCATTATTCGTCTAATGTCAATGCTCAATAATTTATATGATTTAAAAATATATGATAATCACATTTTTGTTAGATTTGGTTTTTCTAAAATTTGAAATCGAATTATTTAATGCAGAGCGGAGCAGAAAGAAGAAGTGTGATACAAAATGTGATGGTGGGAGCTGCGGCAATAGCATGGCCTCTTCTTGCTCTAGCCTTCTAATAAATTTTTTTTTTGTTCTTTCAGTTTCAATTCTTAATTTTATTTATTTTTTTATCTTTTTTATCCTACCATATTTGTCTCCCTCGATACAGCTCACATTTTGTATTCAGCATTTTATATACTACCTGTTTTTTTTATGTTACAAATGATAATTTTCATACATGCTATTTTCTGCAAAATTACTGTTCTCAATTTGCTAATTAGCTCATCAATGGTAAAATATTCTCACTCATTCACAGCTACATTGTTTTACGAAATCAGAAAAAATAAAAAAATTATATTCCAAATCAAAGTTTATTATGAGAATCAATCGAAAATTAAAGAATACAGAGAACCAACAAAAAATCTTGGGTATGAAAATTATTTGCAGAAGAAACCTCTTTTTGTACAAAATCACTACTTTGGTAAGAGGATAAAACATAAAATAAGGCACTGAGAGACCAGAATCTGTGCATTATCAATATCATCAACATCATCATCATCATCATCATCATCCATCAGCCACGCCCGGCGTTTCCATGCCGTTGGTTTCTGAAGTAACTGAGCAACGCCTGTGCCTGACAAGTTACAAGATTCAAAACAATCAAAGTCATGAGAGTGGCTTCTTAAATCAGAAGCATCATGATATAGTTATAAAGTTTGTACCTTTTCTCTAGCTCTGGGAGTACCAGACTGTGAGAGAGCGACGAGTGGAGGAACGGCGCCTTCTTGAAGAACCATGTTGCAGAACCGACCACTGTTGGTTGAAAGTTGAAGAAGAGCTGCTGCGGCGTTTTCTTTCCCTCTAGCTGAACCCAACTCAACAACTTCAACAAGAAGAGGGATCCCGCCTTCTTGACCAATCGCGTTTCTACCTTCCGGGATTGTAGCTAGATTTGCCAAAACTGCAACTGCTTTATCCACCATCCCAGCTGCTGGGTCCATCAGATCAATAAGATATCTCACAGCACCTGATTGCACGATTGTCGCCTTGTTTTCTTGATGTATCGATAGATTAAACAATGCAGTAGCAGCGTCTTTCTTACCCCGAGGGGTACCGTTACCGAGTAGATCTACAAGAGGCCCGATTGCACCCGACTGACCGATCTTAATCTTGTTTTCTTCTATTACAGAGAGACTGAAGAGAGTGGCAGCTGAATTCTCCTTAGCTTCAGAGCTACCATTTTCAAGCACGTAAATGAGCGGCTCAATTGCACCGGCATCAGCAATTGCAGTTTTGTTGTTGTCATTGATAGATAAGTTGAGAAGGGCGGTAACAGCGTTTTCCTGTGTTGCTGAGTCACTTGAGTAAAGTAGTTCCACCAATAAGACGATTGCTCCAGAGTTCCCAATGACTATCCGATTATCCATGTTGTGCTTGGCTAGCAACCTTAGTTCTGCGGTTGCTTGTCTCTGAGTATCCAATGAACTGCTTTTCAACTCCTCCACCAACTTCTTAACTTGGGTTTCGACCTCAGAAAGATCACGTCTTGTCTCATTCGAAGGCGCTGAAACAATCCTTGAACCGAGTCTCTCTGATGGACGTCGCCAAAACTGACCACGACTACGTCTATCCATGAATTTGGGGGAAAAATCAGACAAATCTCGCCGAGTAGCTGCTGAAGTGGTTGCAGCAAGAGGCCCTGATCTAATTTCTCCTGAAGCATCACTGCTGTAAGGTGTAGCATGAGCTGATTCTTCTGAATTTTCATTCGCATCTGCTCTTGGAAACTCTTCATTGGAAACAGTGCTAGTAGCAGAAGGGGACCTATGATGGTGGTTCTCAGATGTTTGTCCATTTTCCACTGAGCCTCGTGTAGTTGAAGATACAGATGACCTACCGGGTGCATCTGTCTTCATTTCTCTAGAATCGTTAGATCTATCTTCAAAATCATTTAGTGATCCCCTCCTGGCGTCCAAACCGTACCCATTTCCAGATACACCCGGTGAAGAAGCACCCAAGGCAGAAGCAGGACGTGAAGGAGAAGCACCTTCTCTTCCAGTTGCTCGGCTTGAGAAAGAGGGCTTACCGGTTTCACTTGAAGAAGCATCCCAATCATGTGACTTGTTGCTAACTTTATGAGCAGAAACATCAGCACCCGTGCTTGGAATGGAGTCTGTACATGATAAAAGAGGAGAAAGCTCATTTAAACTTGTTGATTTATTGGGATCAGGCAGCTTGACATCGTTTGTCTCACACCAGTTAGCGATTAAGGCCTTCACAGTGTAATTGGGTATTAGAGTCGTGTGAGTCAGGGTCTGTCGAGTCTTGGGACACACTTTTAAACCCAAATCAATCCATCTCTTGATGAACGCCTTTTCATATGTTTGTCCTGATGACACAATCACTGGATCAGTCATTACTTCAAGTGACAGAGGGCAAAAGAAGTCGGCAAGAATGGCAACACTAGATGTCTGAGTCTGTTTGATCAGAAGAAGACGTTCATGCATGCGGTTTACAATTACAATCAGTTGGTCAAGGAACTCGACTTCTGCATTATTCTCAGACTGCTCAGCCATCTCTTTCTGCCTCTCCAGAGCAACAGCTTCAATCAGAATCTCCTGGTTTGATCTCAGACCAGTGTTCTCTCCAATTTTCACCAAGATCTCAGGGCTAGGTCCAACACCATCTCTCTGATCCCTCAAAGCACCATCAATGACAGAAGATATTTCTTCATAACTAAGATGCTTAATCTTCTCTAAACATTGCTGCAATTACGAATATTTGTAAATTAACCATTCGCATCTCCTGCAATTTCGATTCAATTGCTAATGTCGACAACACAAGAAAACACAACGCAGTCAGCATCACTAAAGCTAATGTTCCGAACAGACCACGTATATACACCAGACCTATAGCATGTAAAATCAATACAAGATTCCTCTAAATGTAAAGAGAAGATAGGTACCTCAAGGGAAGCTGGGCTTAGCTCATCAGGTAGATGGTTCTTAGAAGACATGAGAAACTTGAAAGTATCCACAATGGTGTCTCGCATCTTTGGTATCAAAGATTCAATTTGAAGAACCTAGACGAAACGATATATCAGTAACCAAAACTTAAGCAGGAGTGCAGCCTAACCGTCACGGATTCAAGCAGACAGTTAGTTACAGAGTACCAATATCATCAGTTCATCTACTAAATGGTTATATGCAACTTGTAAACAATCTATACATAAAACCAGAGAGGGACTTACGAAATAGACTTTACTGGAGAATGCTTGCCAACTCCTGAAAAGATCAATCGATTGATCAACATCCTGAGTCAATTCTTCAAATGCTTTACCAAGTTTCTCATCCAAAACAAGATCAGAGTTAACAACAACATCTGCAATAGGCTTCAACACTTTCAATAACTCTTCAACTCTTTTATAGTACTTCTCAAATGGGTCTAAATCTATATGTTTGGAAGATGATAGATTTAGAAACGACGAGATACTTCCGATAAGAACTTTTAAGATTTCCATTTTAACCCTGAAAAAAAAGCAACAAAATTTCAAACTTTAGATCAAAAGGGTACACGAATCACGAATCGAACAATCGTCAAGTGAATCTACGAAATTGATTAAATGGGTCTCTCGGAAATGTAAGTAAGAGAATTGGAAGAGAGAAAAGAGGGGAAATTGAAAACCCTAAGTAGATAGATAGATCGAAACTAAAAGAGAGAAGAAACAAACATGCACGTGAAGAAGAAGAAGGGAAATCAATTTTTCTCGGTCTCGCCGATTATAGTTGAGAGCACGTAAAAAGCAAATCTTCTTCTTCTTCTGTGTAATTTTTTTTTTTTTTGATTAGTGAAAGAAGAAGGAAAAAAAAAAGATTGGAGGAGTTGTTTGGCTCTGAAATTGGTCAGAGAGAAATTTGCTGGCGTTTTAAGCCGTTCTAAGCCGTTTCGGACATTGTTTTGTCAGCTTTGGTCTCCTCCACTTTGTGTTTTGTTTTTTTTTTTCTTTAAGAAAATATGCCAAAAAAATCAATATTTTGATAGAAACTTTTAAAAATATATAAATCAATCCTAGATTACAAGAAAAACACATATCTTTTAACTAATAACATAAATGATGTATACTCCATTGAATAATTGTATACTAACGACATTGCATATATGATTATGTATATATGTCTTGGTCAATCGTTGTAAACTTTTACAACAATAAAATAAAAGAGAAGAACTAGGTTTCAGAACCGCTCTCATGCACGTTTTTCAAGTAACCCGAGAAGCAAAGTTTTTCAAAAAAAGTGAATCTCACCAACATAATGAAACCTATGTCAGACTCATACCAAAAGTTTCTTGTCAAGGAAAGTTACGGACTATAGGCTCATAGCCCTCTGCTCCGTGTACTACAAGATAGTGGCGAAAATTCTAACTAAACACCTACTGAAGCTTTTTCCCGACATGATTTCAGAAAACCATTCAGCCTTTGTGCCCTTCCGTGCCATCTCAGACAATATCCTTATTACTCATGAGATTCTACATAATACATACCCTAAGCTTGTCTAAAGCAAAAAAGAGAGGTTCCATGGCCGTTAAAACTGACATGAGCAAGGCCTATGATCGGATCGAATGGGACTTCCTTCGGGCAGTACTGTCAAGTTTAGGTTTCCACACGATGTGGATTGAGTGGATCATGGAGTGTGTCTCCACAGTCTCATACTCCTTTCTAGTCAATGGTTCTCCTCAAGGTAAAGTCACTCCTTCAAGAGGAATCCGTCAATGCGATCCTTTGTCTCCATACCTCTTTATTCTATGCACGGAAGTTCTTTCGGGTCTTTGTTGAAAAGCACAAGAGGATCGTTCATTACCAGGGGTCAGGGTATCGCCCAATAGCCCAGCAGTTAGCCATTTACTTTTCGCAGACGACATTATATTCTTCTGTAAATCAAGTAAAAAAGCTTGTCATGCTCTGGCCAATATCCTCCAGAACTATGAGGCTATGTCAGGTCAATGCATTAACTTAGGCAAATCATCCATCAACTTTTCCAAGAAAACATCACAAGCTCACAGACTTCAAGCTAAGCGGATCATCTGAATCAATAAAGAGGGGGGGTATAGGTAAGTACCTCGGCTTGCCAGAGAACTTTAGGAGACGTAAGAGAAACATCTTTGGAGATATTGTGGACCGCATCCGCCAACGTTCTCACTCATGGGCCTCAATATTTCTTTCGACGGCTGGTAAGGAAACCCTCCTTAAGGCAGTCCTCACTTAATTTTATGCCTTCATATACGATGTCATGCTTCAAACTACCATCGTCCCTCAACAAAAAGTCCAATATATTTTGACCCGATTCTGGTGGGATGCAAAACCCGATGAAAGGAAGATGTCTTGGGTTGCTTGGACTAAACTCACAAGACCAAATTAAAAACGCGGCTTTCGGGATATTGAAGCTTTTAATGATGCTCTCTTGGCTAAACTGGGTTGGAGATTGATATCTCACCCAACTTCTCTCTTCTCTAGAGTCTTCTTGGGCAAATATTGCCAACATTCCTCTTTTATGGAGGGTATAAAACTCCCAAATGCCTCACATGGCTAGAAAGGTATTCTAGCATACAGGAATGTACTAAATGAAGGTCTCGGCTGGTTAATAGGAAATGGTGAAAGTATTAGAGTATAGACTGATCCATGGCTATCCAAAGTTGAACCTCTTCGCCCAATGGGCCCTCCCAACGTTAACATGTCTTGGCTAAGAGTGGCAGATTTATTGGACCCCGTATCCAAAACCTGGAATTCGTTAGCTGTAAGAGAGACGATCCCTCTGTACGAAGAGAACCTTTGAAGAATACCTATCAGCTCTTCCTCGCAAAGGGACAGACTCGTATGGCTCCCAGAAAAAAAAATGGCCAATATACATCGAGATAAGGTTATGAGATCACCATGGCAAAAACCATTCCTCTAGCTCACCTCCAGTTCAAATGGTAGTCCACGGTTTGGAAAGCCCACACTTCTCTGAAGATACGCAGTTTTGCGTGGAAAATTATCATGAATGCTTTACCTGTTATTGCTAATCTGGTGTACCGTGGTATACCAGCTGACCCAAACTGCAAACGATGCAACCAGCCTAAAACTATTTCCCATGTGCTCCGCAATAATCCTTTTGCCAGGAGAGTCTGGTCACTCACACCACTGAAATGCAACCCAACCTCAATCCCGGGTACCATGCTGGAATGGCCCTCAATAACCAATACAGCATGTGCTCTGCCTCTAACTGGTATTTCTTCGGCCTCTCTTTTCCACTAGATTTGTTGGTTCTTGTGGAAAGCTCGAAATGCCTTGATCTTCTCACCTTCCTCATTTTCTGGGGTGGAAATTGTCTTGAAAGAGAAAATGGAGGCAAAATGTTGGCAGGAGGCTCAAACTCTTTGATACGCCAGAGAGTCCCCACAACCTACTCTCAACTAACCAATCTCGAACCCTGCTTCTGTCCCTGCTCTGCCATCCACTTTGTTTACTGGATTACAACCACCTCCCATGTCTATTTCGGTTTCCTCGGATGCTGTGTGGGATGCAGCAACACTGATGGCATGTTTGGGTTGGTCTTTCCATCTTAATACGGATGATACTAGTATCAATGAGGTTAGCGGTTTGATAACACACACTCATGTCAACTCTGCGCTGGAAGCAGAAGCTTGGTCAACTTGGGCGGCACTAGCTCAAGCGAAATCCGACGGCATCAAGGAGATTCATGTGCTCTCGGACTGCCAGACCTTGGTCAACCTGTTGAACTTTTTGCTAATCCACACCGAAATTCAATCAATTATCGATGACATCCGAGCTTTATGCTCTTCTTTTAATATCTTGTGTTTTCTTTCATTCCTAGATGTTCTAATAGCAAAGCTGATGCTTTAGCTAAAAACGATCTTCAAGCGGTTGTAACAAACTTTGTTCTTTGAGTTTTACTTAATGGAATCTCCATCTGACAAAAAAAAAAAACAAGAAAATAAAGTTCAAACTCATTAAACCCCAATTTCGTTAGGTTTTTTTTTTGGGTTTAGGATCCTCGTCTTTAGATAGAGTTTTTTAATTTATTGATGTAGCTGGAAAAAACATTTTCCTTTTGGTTATAACTCACCGTTGTCTATTCTTTGTTAACCTATGTTCTCAAATCTTCTTCGACGACTAGATTTATTCATACCTTCTTAGTTTTTGTTGGTGATTGGGATGTGTTCTTCCTCTTCGATCGTTTTCTCATGGTCTTTGTCAATCTTCGGTAGTTGCATTGAAGATTTAGTTGATGTTTGAAGAGTTTGTGGTTGGAGTTCTCCAGGAAGATCAAGTTGGTATCCATCCCATGATAGGTCGGTCTCGCATTGCCCATGCTGTCTTTGAAGGTATGCGATAGTACTTGGCAACGGCAAATGGAGAAGATATGATAATAAAGGAAGCTAGAGTTAGAAGCTCAGTGGCAGATGCAGAAAAGGACCCTATCATAGAAAACTTCAATGATTATCCTGACTAAAGGAAAAAGTCTAGTTTCCAAATACGAATCTTCTGACTCTTCCTTCAAAGATTATTATGTTTTTAATAAATCTGCTAAGTTGATGCGAGCAGAGTCTTAAGCTGACCAATCCAGATCTTTATGTTAATTATATGGTTAGGAAACTATATAAAATAGACTTTCTTTGAGATAACATAGATAGATATCTATGATCTATGAATATATTAGTAAATGTTGCATCTTTTGGCTATGTTATTGGATTATTGACTTCTTCTACCTTGTTATATTAAATTTTTGTTATCTGCGTGGAACAATATTCATGTGTTGTTTCTTTATGGTATATTTCTAGGAAGCTGAACTAGAGAAGTTAAAAAAAAATTCGTTAAGCCTTCATGGCGAAAACTATTGGAGCCATCGGAAAAAATTACTGATCAATTATCTGTTGTTTCTAGCTAATGTCGATAATGGAGAAATTGCGAGCGAATGGGGGAGGAAAGAGAATGGTTTATCGAAGGTTCAGTTATGTTTTTTTTTTAATATAAATCTTCTCGGCTGATCTGGCCATCTCAGTAGAAACGCACCGAAGCGATTTAGAATGGACTTTTCTCCGAATAGCCACCATACTGTCCATCGACTCCATCCCAAGTTTGGAATGTTTTCCAACTAATACCAGGGGGTAGCCAGTTCGCATATTACTGGACTACCATGTAAATTGTTTGGACCCAAGCCCATACTTGTTTCAAGGGTGGATCAAACCTAGATTGGTTCCTTTCAATTTTTTTCAAGTTCTCAACCACCACTGGACCACGACTGTATGAGCCAAATATTCAATTCTGTTTGTAGGGTTTTCAATAGATTAGTGGTGAAGGAGACGTGTTTGTAAAATGGGAAATGTGTAATTTTAAAATCTCTTCAAATATCATCTTATGAGGTGTGATTGTTCTATTTCTACCCACACTTTTAACTATAAATTGTCTCTCAAATCATTTGTATTTTTTTCGTCTATGATTTTGTTTTCCAATAACATGAGATTTGAAAACATTTTTATAAATTATCAATTGAATAACTATAGATTTGGAGTTATTTTGATAGATCATCGCTGGGAGTTTACAGCGAAACCTAATTTTCTCTCTAAAAATGCCTCCTTCGAAAAGCCGCCGTTTCTCCTTTTAGATCTGAGACCGGTGGCCGGTGGCTTCTTCAGCACCGGGGCTGGTCTCCTCTTTTGCTTTTTGTTTGCTCTTCGGCATCTGTAACTTTCGGTGGTGATGATGGTCTAGACGATGTCCGGGTTCGAGCTAGGTTTATGTTGGGGTGGTGTGGTCGGAGATCCGGCCTTCTTTTGACGGTGTGTGTCTCCTCTACCCTTCGTTCTCCTCTCTTGAATTTGGCGATTTTACTCGGCTGATCCAATCTATTTACCTCTGGCGTTGTAGCGGTTTGTGTTTGTTGTAGTTTCAATTGCTGGGTGTAACTGTTTTCTTTTACAGAGATTCCTTTTAAATTTGGTCTTTTGTGGTTTGGTGCTCTCCATTCTAATGTTTTCTTCTTCTCTGCAAGTTGTCTTCGTCTCGCTCCGGTTTCGATCTTTCACCGGTTCTTTCGTATTCGGTGTTGTCCGGTTCGTGTTTGGTTCGCTCTTTGTCTCTACTCTATAGATCAGATCGAGATCTGGTCTGTTCAAAGGCTTCTTTCGAGGCGTTAACTTGTCGGGGTATATTCTTTCGACTTCGCCGCTACCGGGAGGAATATTTTGATCCTGTTGCTTTTGGCTTGGATATCTTGCTGGTGTGATCGCCTAGGAACTCTTTCATTGTGAGGTAGTCTCAATCCACTATAGGAGGAACCGCTTATCGTTGTCTCGCTTTGCTGCTTCGGTTTGCTTTGTGTAAGGCATTCCAGTCATGGTTTTGATTTGGTAGGTATGGAGTTTGTGCTAGATTCCAGATTTAATTTGTTGAGTCTCTTGTTTTAGTTTTCATTTATTCCTTGTTTCTTTCCCTGTAATTATTTAGGGCCTCGTTTGGGTTTAGTTTCGGGGGGTTAAAGTCCCGCCGGCTTAGTTTCTGAGGGTTAAAGTCCCGCCGGCCTTTGTATTCCGACAATGTAATTCACCCTTGTTATATAATCATTCAGACGAAAAAAAAAAGAAGGAGTTATTTTGATAAATACTAGATTCAATAAAACTGGATCTTAATAATTTTAGAAAGTGACCACCCCAATAAGATGAAATTGTTTCAAAGGAAAAAAATCATACCAAATTAATATGCCCTATAAATATAAAAGTTGAACGTTGAATGAGATTTTTTCCAAAGCAGCACCAAATATTATCGTAAAATCAATAATTCCTTTAATAAAATGCAAAAACAGGAAGAAAATCAAATGCATGAGCAAAACAATTTGTATAGATATGTATAGATAAGCATCTTTTATCTTGTATATATATATCACCCCTAAAACTACAGAACAAATAAATCTAAAAAATAATGAATTTTTTTTCGTATTTTTTAGTTGTTATTGTATTGTGTGCAGGATTGAGTAATGCGAAGTTCAACGAAAAAAATTCTGTAGTTTTTAAGAATTCTCTTGGTCCCAAAAACGTTCTCAAGATTCATTGTATATCAAAAGACGACGATCTAGGCTACAATTATTTAAGACCTGGACAAATCTACGAATTTAGTTTTCATGATAGTGTTTTGAAAACCAAATTTGATTGTGAGTTATGGCAGGGACGTGGTCCTACTTACAAGTTTTATGCAAACTTTCGGGCGTACAAAGGTGGCGGTCTGATAGTTCACAGCGGTAAAAAGAACTTTTGGGAAGTTAGAGAAGATGGTATTTACTTTACACATGGTAAGGAAATACCTAAATTAGAGTATAAATGGAGCCCCATAGGAGAGCCCCCTATAAGATCATAAAATGTTTTTTTTAATAAGTACAATTTTATATCTCATGTTCTTGAATGAATCTATTGAACAAATCTTTTTGTTTTTTCTTAAAATCAAAAGTAAATTGAATATTTTTCTGGTCAATATCGGTCAACGCTGGATTCTGACAAACAGTATACCGGATTAAGGTAGTTTGTGATGTTGACCACATGTCATCATATATTTGGTATATATGGACATTCAGTTTAGTTCGTGATCTTGGGTATACATTTATAAACTTGGATTGAATTTTAAATCGGAGAAGATAAGGTAATAAAGAAAGCTAGTCAGAAGTTTAGTGGCGGATGTGCCAAAGGGATAAGAGAATAAAGAGAAAAGTTGTGTTCTATTGACATTGAGAAAATGTATATATACATCCTACACATGAAACCCTAAACATACTTAGGGAAATTAACATATTAGCCTAAGTATAATATATTTACATTATAGGTCCCTAATACTCCCCCTCAAGTTGGAGCATGAAGATTATACATGCCCAACTTGCGCCGTAAATAAGCAAATTGTTGAGAACCCAAAGCCTTAGTAAAGATATCCGCTGGTTGCTCCGTAGTGGTAAGATGCGCAGTAACCAGTGAACCATCCTGAATTTCATCCCGAATGAAGTGACAATCCCTCTCAATATGCTTCGTCCGCTCATGAAAAACTGGATTGGCAGCAATATGTAAGGCTGCCTTATTGTCACAAAACAAACGCATCGCCTGCGGATGAGACACTCCAAAGCATCCTAAAAGCTCACGATTCCATTTCAACTCTCGAGTAGTAAAACTCATTGCACGATATTCAGCCTCTGCAGAAGAAAATGACACCACATCTTGTTTCTTTATCTTCCAAGCAATCGGAGAATCACCCAACATAACAATAAATCCTGTAACCGATCTCCGAGACATGGAACATGTAGAAAAATCTGAATCACAATAAGCTGTCAATTGTAAATCAGGATCAGAACTCAACACAATACCTTGACCCGGACAGCCTTTAAGATATCTGACAACCCGTATAACTGCAGCCCAATGCTTGGCACGTGGTTTTTGCATAAATTGAGCCAAAATATGCACAACATAGGACAAATCTGGTCGGGTAAAAGTAAGATATACCAAACGCCCAACAAGCCTCCTATACCTCTCGACATCCTCATAGAACTCTCCTTCATCACCCGGCAACTTATGGTTTTGCTCAAGCGGAGTAGACACTAGTTGACATCCCAACAACCCACATTCACTTACAATATCCAAAGCATACTTCCTTTGCGACAAGTAAAAACCATCATGAGACCGAGATACTTCAATGCCCAAAAAATATTTCATAGCCCCCAAGTCCTTCATATGAAAACATTCACTAAGGTATCCCTTAAACTCCTGAACACCATTAAGATCATTTCCCCCAATCAACAAATCATCAACATAGACCAACACAAAGAGTTGCATAGATCCACGCTCCAAGGTAAAAAGAGAGTAATCGGCTACCTGCTGAGCAAACCCATACCCTTTTAGTGCTGCTGCAAGCTTAGCAAACCAACAACGTGGTGCTTGACGTAGACCATATAAAGATTTCTTAAGGCGACAAACTTTTGATTTATCTTGAGAAACAAAGCCAGGAGGTAATCTCATATAAACTTCTTCCTCAAGATCCCCATGTAGAAACGCATTATGAACATCCATCTGATGTACTTCCCATCCTTTGACAGCCGCAATCTTAAGAAACTCGCGAATAGTTGTCATTTTCACAACAGGAGCAAATGTCTCATCAAAATCTAACCCTTCGACCTGTCGATTTCCCATGGCCACCAAACGAGCCTTGTAACGCTCAATTTCCCCATTCGACTTATACTTGATAGTAAAGATCCAATGACTGCCAATAGCTTTCTTTCCTGGCGGAAGATCGGTAATATCCCAAGTGTCATTTGCTTCTAAAGCATTCACCTCTCCAGACATCGCATTGCACCATTTCTCATCCTTAACGGCTTGCGAATATGACTTAGGAACCGAGATAGCAGTAATGGCCGCAAGAAAAGCTCTCTGTGAATCAGAAAATCGGTCACAACTCACATAATTAGCAATGGGATAGAGGACCGTACCTGGAGCAGAGGATGTTGATTGAGTGGGTGCCGGTGAGAGTGTGGGATGTTCAACTGAGCAACGTGTAGTATGTAGTACATAATCACTTAGATGAGCCGGAGGTTTTCTTTCCCGTTCGCTTCGTCTAACTTTAATCCCTTCACTAGTCAGATTATCATTCCCTAATTGACTCCCCCTTTCCTCCAAAGCAGTATCTGAAGTCTTTTTATTATCTTTGGACCCCGTAATATGAACATCGGACAAGCTGGATGCTGGATCGATCGATCCTGGTGCCGGATCGATCGATCCGTTAGTGGCTGATGTCTCAGTAATTTCCTCTGGATCGATCGATCTAGGCGTGGGATCGATCGATCGCTCCGTCTCGGGTCCAACCTCGTCACATGTCAGTAGCTTGGGATCGATCGATCTACGTGCCGGATCGATCGATCCCGTTTGGTCCGTCAACTCATCAAACGTCAGTAACTCGGGATCGATCGATCCACGTGCCGGATCGATCGATCTAGTCATCTCTGGTCGAAACTAATCATCTTCAAACTATGCGGGATCGATCGATCCCGGCTGTGGATCGATCGATCGCTGTTCCGACAACTGATATGGGAATTCATCTTCTTGAAACACCACATCCCGAGAAACAAAGAATTCCAACTTCTCCAAATCATACACACGCCATCCCTTCTGACCAAATGGATACCCCATAAAAACACACCGTCTACTTCGTTCCCCAAACTTATCTTTATCCCGCAAAACATTACGAGCAAAGCATAAGCTACCAAAGACTTGTAAGTGAGTGATATTAGGTACTTCCCCAAACAACAGCTGATAGGGTGTCTTTCCTTGCAAAATAGTGGATGGAGTTTGATTAATCAAATGACATGCAGTCATAACACACTCACCCCAAAACTGACGTGGTAAGGTAGCTTGAAACATCAACGATCTAGCAACATTCAATATATGTCTATGCTTTCTCTCCACTCTACCATTTTGTTGAGGAGTATAGACACACGACGTTTGATGCATGATTCCCTCTTCTAGGAAGTACGATCGCAAACCCATAAATTCCCCGCCATTATCACTACGTACTACTTTCACCTTCTTCTCAAACTGTCGTTCCACCATTTTGAAAAAATTCTTAAGAGTTACACCGACTTCACTCTTTTCCCGTAACAGGTGCACCCAAACCACTCTCGAATAATCATCTACTATTGTCAGAAAATACGCAGCACCCGAAGTAGATACTATGCGATACGGACCCCAGAGATCACAATGAATCAAATCAAAAATTCCAGCAGCTTTATTAGAACTTTCATGAAAACAATCCCGGGTTTGTTTAGCCCGTAAACAAATATCACAAACTGTTGTGGAACTAACTTGCTTTCCAATATCTAAATAACTCGATAAATAGGGAACAACATGACTAGACGGATGACCAAGACGACGATGCCATAAATCCCATGATCCTGAACTACTCACAGTCTTGTGTATCTTCGCACCAATCACCCCTCGAAGCACGTACACATCCCCACACTCTTCACCAACCCCAATCAGCGTCTTCATAGCCCGGTCCTGTATAACACACAACTCATCAGTGAATGTAATAGAACCCTTAACCACTTTCAACAACTTTGCAACCGAAATTAAGGAGCATGTTAAATCCTTAGAGTACAAAACTCCTTGTAGCCACAAATCGCCCCCGAGACATATATCACCATGTTGGGTGGACACCACATGATCACCATCCGGTAGACCGATCATACATGGATTGGTATTCATCACATTAGACAAATAGTCTAAATTACCAGTCATGTGGTGTGATGCTCCTGTATCAATAATAAAATCAACACATTCTTTCTTACCATTCAGCTTCTCATTAGGATTTGACTTTTGAGAAGCAAAGAGACCCTTGAGAGCATTCCATTGATCATCACTCATTTGTGGTAGAGATTGACGATCCAAATCAGCCGGTGTTCTTGTTGAATTAGCTTGTATTCCCCCAACAATATTTGCCTGAACACCCGTGACCGCGTTAGCCCTACCACCGGACCCGCGACCACGTCCAAACCGGCCACCACGTCCTCCACGTCCACGTCCACCTCTACCGCGATCATTGTAGTCAAGACCTCGTTCTCCCCACCATTCAGGAAGACCAATTATCTGAAAGCAATCAGCCTTTGCATGCCCATACTTACCACAATGAGTACATGTCACGTCCTTCTCGCGATAAAAATTAGAAGTTTGACCCCGTTGTGCAGCCTGGACCGCAAACCCCACAGCCTCCGGAGTGGCATCACGATTCCTAGTAATCGTGAGTTGTCTCTCTTCTCGAATGATCCTTTGATAGACTTGTGAGAGCTTGGGTAGTGGTTCCATACTGGTGATAGTAGAACGCACCGTACCAAACTTCGCAGAATCTAAACCATTCAAGAAGGTATTGGTTCTCTCTTCATTATGGTCTTCTTCCAACTGAGCAGCCAGTTCTCCACAACTACATGATCGAATAGGCTTGTAAATTGCCAATTCATCCCACATCTTCTTAAGTCTCCCATAGTACACCATTACCGTATCTCTGTTTTGCCTACAGTTTGCTATATCAGCCCGAAGCTCACTGATTCTTGGCCCGTTTCCCGCAGAGAATTGAAGCTTCAAATCTTCCCACAACGCTTGAGCTTCATCCACCATAGAAATCGATGTCCTGAGAGTCGGCTCAATCGTGTTCATAATCCAAGCGATTAACATAGAATTAACCACTTCCCACTGTTCAATCTCATCATCCTTGGTAGGTTTCTCCAAGGTCCCATCAATAAACCCTAATTTCCGTTTCGTTCGCAAGGCGTTCCGCACATGCTTAGCCCAATCTTCATAGTTTTCTCCCTTTAATTGAACAGTAGTAATCACATTACCCGGTCCATCAGAAGGATGAAGATAAAGTGGAGAGGCCCTAGCCTTCTCCGCCACCGTGAGTCCACTCCCGCCGCCGCCTTCCGCAGTCTTCACCGGAGCAACCTCTTTCCCGTCAACATCAGCCATCTTCTCTTCTTTTCCCTTTGTTTGATTTTCTTCTTAAAACCCTAGCTCTGATACCATGTCAAAGGGATAAGAGAATAAAGAGAAAAGTTGTGTTCTATTGACATTGAGAAAAGGTATATATACATCCTACACATGAAACCCTAAACATACTTAGGGAAATTAACATATTAGCCTAAGTATAATATATTTACATTATAGGTCCCTAATAGGATGCAGAAAAGGATCCTAACACTCAGAAAGCAGTTCAAAGATTGTTCTCATTAAAAGAAACGATCAATTTTCCAATTACGAATCTTTTGACTTGTCCTTCAAACACTGTTCTGTTTTAAATAAATCTGCTAAGTTGATGCGAGTATAGTCTCAAGCTGACCAAAATCCAGATCTTTATCTCTGTTATATAGCTATGGAGCTCGATTAGGGTGGGATCTTTTTACCCATATAAATAAATAGGTTTTAGACTTTTAGTAGGTTACCCTAATAGGGTTTATGGGTTTAATGAGTAAAACCCATTATGATCATGGGTTACCCATATGAGTTCATTGCGAAAACTAAAAAGTAATACAATATATGTATATGTAAAATATCTTCTTTTCTTTAGGATTTTAGGATGCTTTTTCTATTTTAATATCTAGATATTTTTTATTTGTTATTTGAAAACTTTTGTTGGTTTTACAATAATATAATTATATGTTATTTTTTAGATTTCTTTTTATTTATTTATATAATTTTATTTATATGGATACTCATATAATCCATTAAACTAATGTATCTTATGCTTATGGGTTTGAGTATGCAAATTTAACCCATATAAATAAATGAGTCGGATCAAACTCCTCCATTAAAATCTCTAACCTATGTGGGTTTGGGTCGGGTCGGGTCGGATTACCCATTTTGACATCCCTAGCTGAATGTGCAACTAGAACTGGACACTAATATATGTTACCCGTATTTGACCCATCTTAAAAAGTACATGTGACCATAGCATCGGGTAAAGGGTATTACTGGTATTACCCATTCGTAAGGGTCTACTATCGAGTATTAATTTTGTTTCAAATACATGTTCTGTTACCCGATTTATTACCCGACCTGTACATACCAGCTTTATTAATGTTTACAATATTACCAATATTTTAATGTTCATGGAATTTAATAGAATGGAAATAGCAACTTATGAAAAATTGACTTTTTGTAAACAAATACTTATGTTTTGGAATATGAAATTATTATACGGTTACGCAAAATATTTTTACGCATGAAAGATTAATTAATATGCTGGTAAAAGGTCGGGTATCTAGCGGATTTTCTTTTGAAGATGATTAAATACATCTCCCAAAAACGAAAGTGATATTGATTATAAAAAATACTCTTCCTAAAATACCATTAATTAATTATTATAAAATCAATTGATTTACACTAATTCTCTAATAAGTGATAACACATATAATATAACCAAAATAAATGGTTTTATTATAAAAAGTTTTTATTTATTATATAGTAATATATTATATATTACATTTCAAAAATATATATTTATCATTAGTTTATGTGTGTAGATGGAATGGAAAACATAGACAGATCATTAGTGCTTATAATAAGAGGGGCATATTGAATCAATGATTTGCATTTATTTGGATACTTAAATTTTAGTAAGAATTGAAAAGAATGAAAGGTTTAAAAAGATTTGAGTTTTTAACAAAAAAAAAAAAGATTTGAGCAAATTTTATAGAATTATTGTTACAAATCTTAGTGGATGATTAGTAGAAATTTCAAGGCATTTGAGAAACTGAAAATGTGAGATCAAAAATAATTTGTGAATGGCATGTCGATCTTCGTCTTTAACATGTATGCTATTATAACGTTTATAATTAAGGTTGGCTACTGATACATACATCTTCTAGACCTTGTTAATTATACTATTTCTATGATCTATGGATATATTAGTCAATGTTGCATTTTTTTTTTGTCAAAGGGTTTTTTTTTTAACCAGGTTGTCCGGGCCCCACCACTAGTGGTTCCGACTAGCACTGTATTGGGCATTGCCCTCAAGTGTGGTCCTGGTGGCCTTACATACCGGGTTCACGTTATCCCATCGCTAAGGGCGTGGCAGTGGCCAAATGAGGTAAAATTCAGGAGTGTCGTGCTTGCATGGAGTCGATCCCTAACCTGGACCAACAGAGTCGCTCCTCTGCAAGTGGAAACCACTGAACCACCACCACTTGGTTCAATGTTGCATCTTTTGTCTACGTTATTCGATTATTGACTTCTTCTATATTGTTAGATCATAGAAATATAACAAGGTGAGTATATAACTATATATGAGGTGTGATTGTTCTTTTTTTTTGTTCAACAAAGTGTGATTGTTCTACCCACACTTTTTAACTATAAATTGTCTCGCAAATCATCTGATTTTTTTTTTTCTACAATCTTATGGTAACATCCCAGTTTTCCAATAACATGAGATTTGAAAATATTTTTCTAAATTATCAATTGAACCATAGATTTGGATTGATTTTGATAAATACTAGAGTCAATAAGACTGGATTTTAATACATTTCAGAAAATGACCAGTCCAGTAACGTGAGATTGTTTTAAAGGAAAAAATCATCCCAAATTACTAATCCAATATTCCCCTTAAATGTAAAAGTTGAACGTTGAATGAGCTTTTTCCTGAACAGCACCAAATATTATTGAAAAAAAAATTCTTTAATAAGATGCAAAAACAGGAGGAAAATTAAATGCATGAGCAAAACACTTTATATAAATAAGCACATCTTTTATATATGTATATCACCTCTAAAACTAAAGAACAAATAAATCTAAAAAAAAAGTTCACAATGAATTGTTTTTCTTGTTTTTTACTTGTTATTGTATTGTGTGCAGGATTGAGTAATGCAAAGTTCAACGAAAAAAACTCTGTAATTTTTAAGAATGCTCTTGGTCCTAAAAAAGTTCTCAGGATTTCTTGTACATCAGACAACGACGAAATAGGCTACATTTTCTTGAAACGTGGACAAATCTACCAATTTAGTTTTCATGATAGTGTTTTCAAAACCAAATTTGATTGTGAGTTATCGAAGGGAAGTGGTGGTTTTTATGATTACAATTTTTATGCAAAATTTAGGGCATATACAGGTGGCGGTCTCATAGTTCACTACGGTAAAAAGAACTTTTGGGAAGCTAGAGAAGATGGTATTTACTTCACACATGGTAAAGAAATACCTAAATTAGAGTATAAATGGATCCCCGGAGATCCCATAGATCCCCCTATGGAAGCAAAGAGCCCCCTATGAGAGCATAAAATGTTTTAATCATCTATGTTTAACTACGATCTTATTTCTTATGTTCTTGAATAAATTTATTGAATAAAATTTTATAATCGATTAAGATAGTTCGTGATGTTGATAACATGTCGTTTTATAACTTGTACATGTGGATATGCAATTTAGTTCGTGTTGTTGGCTACACATCTCTAAATTTGGGATATGTGGTCATATATTGTTACAGTTAAATTCAAAAGAAACATATAGCTTGCTATTCTTTTTCCTTTTAAATATAAAGTTACAGTCAAATTCAAAAGAAACATAAATAGCATAGGCTATAATCTAGTTATTAAGATTTTTTTTTTTTTGGGGACAAATCTAGTTATTAAGTTAAAATCCATAACAACAACAGCATTAGCAGGTGAACAGATCTTATTAGTTCTCGTCTCTGGGACCTATCTACTGATACATAGAAGAGCCTTCTTCAACAAAACCAGAGCTGCTTTATAACAACAACACATATAATACAAAAGAGAAAGCTAGAACTCATGATCCTAAGGATTACAAGACATAGCTACTACACTGTCTTGTTTGGTCCATTCTCAATTACTAGACTCCGCTTTGAATCGCCAATGAGTGAAAGTGATGCCACGAGCAATGAGGTAGAGGATGAATGCACCATACGAAGCTGTGAACACAGTCACAAAACCGGTATAGACTATGCCACTAACCTCATTGGAGAAGAACTCCAACAATAGATAACCGTTGATCATTATCACGAGCGCAGCAACAAGCCACGCGATTGTCTGCACAACAAGGTGAGATCGAACTTAATAAAGCGATCTTTAACGAATGTAGTAAAAGAGTTTGAAAGAAATCGACAAACCTTGTACAAAGGACCGATTTTGAAGCTACCCATGATTTGTTCTTTGGAGACCAAACACAGTAAGGGAATGAGTGCAAAGGGAATTTGAATGGATTGAAGCACGTTAAGCCACTCGTTTAAGACATCGAGTGTAGCTTCCGATGAATCAAACACTAGAGCAACGATAATAGTTGGAATGATTGCGCAGCTACGTGTGATCAAAGCTCTCAACCATTTCTTCATTTTGAAATTAAGAAACCCGCCCATGATGAATTGTCCCGCGTATGTACCAGTAATAGTGCTGCTTTGTCCAGCAGCTAATAACCCGATTGCCCAAATGTATAGTATCGGGAACACACCGCCTCCATATTTCTCCTGAAGATACTGTCCCGCGTTAACCAAACCAATGCTATCGGCAAGGTCAGTATTATAAAACCCTTTGGCGAAAACCGTTGTGACAAACAGATTGATCATAAAGGAGACAAAAAGAGCAATTGTGGATTCAATCGTGTAGTAGTTTAGCGCTTCTTGGACTCTGTATTTCTGTCGTTTATCGACTTCTCTAGATTGAACAAGAGCTGAGTGGAGAAACACATTGTGGGGCATTATAATACAACCCACAACTCCAACTGCTTTCTGTATCGTTCTTGAACTCAGTTTCGGTACCAATATCCCTGCAACAAGAGAAAGCGAAACTTCTTTAGAACTTAAAAACTGAGTTCTGATAAGAAATTGGATAAAGAGAACAAAGAAAGCCTAACCAATGAGAAGTTCAGAGCCACTTGGCTTAGCTTGACCAAACATCCAAGCGAATGAGACTCCCATAGTAGCGATAAGAACCGCAAACACCGCCTCGAGCTTCCTGATTCCGTAGTTCTCAAGAAACAAGAAGACAAAACTGTAGCCAAAACACACATATGAATCAATAACCCACATAACACCAAAACCTCGTACCTAAAGATAAAATTCCATAAGACATTAACACAGCTAATCATCAATTAACAATCCATAGATTAGATTAGCTAAATTACAATCAGAACCACAAACACTCACTAGAGTTTCCTGATTCCAACAAAAAGACCAAAACTTTGAGCAAAACACACATATGAATCAATGACTAAATGAGACACAGAGTGACAAAAAGTCATATCTAAAGATGAAATTCCAGATTAGAACCACAAACAAAAAGACAAAACTGGGACCAAAACACACAAATGAAACAATGACACAAGAAGACACATGACAAGAATAAAAACCCATGTCTAAAAATAAGATTTTGGAAGAATTAAAAGATTGAGAATTTGTGTGTGACTTACCAATCAAGAGCAGTGATAAGAACACCAGCCCAAAGAGGCAAAATCCCATTACTCAAAATCTTAATAGCAATAGCACTACCAATAACTTCTTGAATATCAGATCCAATCAAAGCCAATTCAGCCATAACCCACAAAACCATTCTTGCCCAAGTCGGATATTCATCACGACAAAGCTCAGCTAAGTGACGACCTGTCGCAACACCAAGCCTCGCTGACAAAAGCTGAACCAATAGACCCATTGCTGTTGCCCACATAAGAAGCCATAACAACGAGTACCCAGCAACCGCACCGGCTTGAAGATCTCCTTCGAGATTCCCTGGATCGAGAAATGCAATGCTCATTAAAAACCCAGGTCCGGTGAATAACCATAGCTTCTTCCATGAGAACGGTGGTGCGCCGCCGCATCCGACGCCGTGTTCTAGATCTTCCTCTTCGTTTCTCACGATGTGTACCTTCTCTGTTTCATCGTACGCTGTTTCTTCTTCTTCTTCGTTGATCAGAAGTGGCTCGTTGTTCTCGAGTTGTGACATTTTTTTGGATTCTCTGTTTCAGTTTCGGGTTTTTGTGTTTTTCGAGGTTTAACACGTTATTCTTACTTGCTCTTGCTTTTTATAGGGAAGTTCTGTTTCTCTTAGTACAAGATAAAGTATAAACACACACTTTCATAAGAATCTAATCACTTTATATTTTTCTAACATAATTATCGATAACTTAGGGAAAAAGATAGGGTTTTATTTGGTGGAGGTAATTCAGATAATCACTCATAAATAAATAAATATAATTTTGATGTGTAAATGGAATTTGGAAAAATAAAATTTTATTTTTATTTGTTACATATATCATAATTAATTCGTCTATTTACGGACACATATTCTATTTCGGTATTTCCTCTCTTTTTTTTTAAATTTTTTTTAAAATAGACAATTTTTGTAGAACCTTCTTGACCGGTTTAAAGGTTTAAAAATTTGTACGGTGTTTGATTATATGAAAATGTACTTTTTTTTTTACAAAAGAACTAGATTTTATCCCGCGGTACACCGCGGGATGATTTAATTTTAAAGTTAGTATAAAAATATTTTGTAAATTGTATCTCCTTATAACATATTTATTTATATTATAGTTTACAATTGTTATTAAGTAACGGTATACCACGAGTCCAAGAGACAATTATTAATAAACTGAGGATTTAACCCGTACTAAAGCGGTATATAAATATTGATTCAAATTTGTCCGCCATATAAATTCTTTCCGAAATATAACCCGTTCCGTAATTTCTAAACCCGTCCCGTGATTTGTTTTTATTTTAAAATTTAATGATTATTTGTTATATATAAAAGTTTACAAATCATATCTTTCTCTAAGACATTTATATTTTAATAAACTGAAGATTTGATATGTATTAAAACGGCATGTTAATGATATTTTAAAATTTTATAAATATTGTTATTAAGTAATATCATACCACGGGACAATTTTTGGTTTTATACATTCTTTTCTAAATGATACTGATTTAATATGTCTAATATTGGTGGTATTAAAAAAAAAAGATTTAATCCGTATTAAAGCGGCGGATTAATGATATTTTAATCTTTTTATTATTGTTTATTCAAAAACCCGTCCCGCCAAATCCGTCTAGCAAAAAAACTCATTTATTTTATTAATGTTGATCTTATTTATGATATGATTCTGAATCATTGTCTAAATATTTTAATCGATGTAAGAACGTTGAACATACATTTTCGTCAATTAGATAATATATGTCCGTTTTTAAAATTTTGAATCACAGTATATGCAAAAAAAAATTGATTTTTTTTTTTACTTTATGTATTATATGATGATTCAAAACAGTTAAAAACAAATCAAACAAAGATGATAGGAGAATTATAATTCTAAATCTTAATCAAATCTTCTAAATATCTAAATTATTAAATATGAAATATCCGGTGTATGAGTTGGGTTAAATATAACCGACCCAACAAATTTTTTGTGAAGGAATTTTTGAAACGGGTCGGATATCCAAATAACCCGAGAGCATTTTTATCCACCCGTCACCAAATTGTTGCAAAAATACTAGTATAGATAGATGCAAAATATATCGGAAATTCCATCCTTCTAATGGTGGAGTCATCTACCGTGGTCTCGTGTGTTAGAGACAAAGATGTATATCTTAAGTATAGTGTAGATATAATCATTACTCAGAATGTAATTAAATTTGATGGATTGATTATCATTTGTAATATGATTTAATTATATTCTTTCTATTTTATAATATAAGACTTTTTAGGGAAAAAAATTGTTTATATTATGAGATGATTTTAAATTTCTATATAAATTACAGATTAATTTAATATTTTATAATTATTTATATTATGCAGTTTAAAGAAAAATATATACTTTCTAATCTGCGTGTTTTTAAATAAAATATTTTATATTTTGAAACGAAAAAAATATATTTTTTATAATGAAATTACAAAAATTTATTTATTTATATTTATCTCTCTTTTTACGATTTTTTTTTTTTAACGTCTGGATTTATTATTTATTGCAAATTATGAGAACTGTTACATAGACGATTCTACAACGGACAATTCCTTCCGACCCTTATTAGATTTACGACAGACGACACCTTCTTCACCTTCTTCTTCATACTCACCTCCTTCTTTATGCTCTTGATGGACACTTCCCTCTCTGCGTAGAATCTTGGCGAACGGCTATAATTGTACATCGCTGGAGATCTCCTGCACACTTGCCTCCAATAATCTGCAAATTTATTAATAAATCGCAGTATCTGGGACTCGAACCCCAGACCTCTGGGTATAAAAACATTAATTAACCCTTGTTCAACCAATGGGTCAAGGGAGCTTCCACTTTTATAATTTATTTAGGAGTATGTTTTCCTCTTCAAAATCAAAGGCATGTATAGGGAATAAAAAAGCAAATAAAGAAAA